AAGATGACAGGTGGATCTAAATCCAATCCACCAAAGCCTAAGAAGAGAGTCGACGCTGCTTCAACCGACGCTCCTACAGCCTCTCTTGTCCGCGCCAAAGATGGAAGTGCTTTTGTCAAATGGTAATCTCATTCACCCTCAACCTAGGCTTTTGTTTCGATTTCCTTTCTGGGTTTTTGCATCATTTTGAAAATTTGAGTGACAAAGTTGTCTGTATCATGGCTGATTTGCATGGTTGGACTTTAGAAATGCTGAATCTTTATGGTTGTAAGATCAGCGATGCTAGTTTGGGTGCGATTGCAGATAACTGTCAATTGCTCAATGACCTTGATGTCTCCGGGTGTGCTGTCACTGATTCCGGAATTGCATCTCTGGCTCGTTCTAATCAGATCAATTTGCAGATCCTTTCTGTGTCTGGTTGCTCTAAGGTCTCCGACAGAAGCTTGCCTTCACTTGGAAAATTGGGTGAGACCCTAATCAGTTCAATCTGCAGATTCTAATCAGAAAATGGTATTTTTTTTCTTTTTTCTTTTGTAGAATGCAGAATCTGCTTCTTCATTACTCAGAAAAGTGCCTGCAATTCTCTTGGTAGTTTGGGGATCATTGTCATGAGGCAAGGATTAGTGGATAATAACTACTGATTGCTTGCTCTTTATTAATCTCGGATCTTTTTTCTAATCAGTGATTGTGCTTGCTCTTTATTAATCTCTCTTTCATTTTAAGTTGAAAAGTTCTTCAGCCTTTCAATTTCCATATTCTTCTCTCAGGTAAAAGATTCTATGCTCACGGAATCTGTCTTCTAGCTTCTTCGGATACATTCGGTGCCATGTTTGATGGTGGTTACCGGGTAAGACAATTCGAGTATATTTTTCCCGTCATCTTTTTTCCCTTTCTGCTACTTTACCATCCCTTGGACAGTATTTCGAAATCGAGGAGCACATTGCTATATAATATAATAAAATGCTTCAATAGAAGGATGATCGACATGAAAATTGTTTTGCAGGAGAGGGATGCCAAAGATGTTGAGATTCCAAATATCAGATGAGATGTTTTTGTCCTAATGATGAGGTATATATTTGAATGCTCACTTGTAAATGTGTAGTAAAATTGTGTTGGAAAGTCCTCACTTGTTTGCTGTTATGGTATTATGCTGCCAGGTATATATACACTGGAACAGTGACCGTTGAAATCGATCTTGCTCAAGAACTTCTTAGAGCTGCTGATCAGTATCTTCTTGACAATCTTAAGCGTCTTTGCGAATACACCATTGCTCTGGTGTGTATGTTTTACTGTGATATTTCTTCTACTGATCATATTACGGATTTACATGATTATCTGTTCTAATTATCCGTTTTTAAAGGATATTTATGAGGAGAACGTTATGCTGATGTATGAACTAGTCGAGGCCTTCAATGCTACCACACTACGTGAAGCTTGCCACTCTTCATGTTAGAGCAATTTGAAAGAAGTAATTTGAAAGAATAAGTGCCAAACCTTGGTATGTGATTCCCAAAACTGTACTTTGATTGTCGAAAAGTTGATGTTTCTAAGCCGTTTGATGCTGTGAACATGCAGGCGTAGCTGTTTGATTCATCGCATCATTCCAGATTTACAGGATTTCTTCATAAGTTCACTTGTAAAGTGTCATGACCCTATGAAGGAGCACATGTGAACTTTTAATTGATACCTCGCTGTCGATTAGGTTTAACCATCAATTTGTGAGGTCTTTTCTTGTGGATAAAACTGGTAGAGTCGGTGTTATATGTGTTTGTATATATAGGAATTGGTAGAACAGTGAGAATTCTTTGATCTAATTCTAATATTATGAAAGTTTTACAGCAAAAATTCTTGTCATTTACTTTTTTTACAGTATCACATGTGGTAGTATAGAAAGTGGGTATTAAAAGGTGTGTACTATCTGTTTTTCATCACTTCTCCAACTATAAATCATCCTTCAAATCTTTCACTTTTGTTCGTCTTCAATCTCTTGTTCCTTACAGTTTTCTATCTTACAAGATAAGCTAAAATCAAAATGAATTTGGGTTAGTCATTTAGTCTCCCAGTTTCATTCACATTGTTAAAGTTAGGTTATGGGTTGTGGGCCTTTTCTTTATAGTTTTTACTTTATTTTTCTAATTTAGAGGCTCAAGTTATTTTATATAATATTATTATTTTTATATAATTAAACTATATAATTTATATAAATTAAACTATATTAATTTTCCTTTGCATTATTAATAATGTTTTATCTAATTTACATTTAAATAATTTTATTAATTTTATATAATAGGTCTATTTATTAATATAATTATCATAATAAATATTTTATTATAACATTTAAAAAGTAATCATATTAATATTTTAATTACATCATAAGCTAAAAAACTTATAATTTTATTAAAATCTTATAATTTTATCCATGATAATATATAAGTCAGGTAAATATCAGATCAGATCTTTAACAAGTCAGATCATTTAGAGGTCAGGTTAAAAATAGGTCAGGTTGAAATAGGTCGGGTAATACCAGTTATTTACTAGGTTAATCTCGGGTTCGGGTTCATATCAGTCGAATGCAGTTCGGGTATCATATTTTCGGTTCAATTCAGGTTCAGGTTGTTCTCAGGTCGGGTTTGGATCTACAATTTTCAGGTCCAAATCGGGTTCAGGTCAACACCAGTTCCGACTCGAGTCGGTTTTGGATTGTCACAGTACAGGTCAAAAACAATTTTGACTCGTGTCGGTTTCAGTCAGTTTTGCAGGTCGGGTCAGCTTTTTATAGCCTAATTAAAGAGGTATACTCCAGCTCTCCACCCTCGTTAAAACATTCTCGATTACCCAGATTTAGGGTTTAGATTGATCATCCACAGCTTTTCGTTGAGTTAATTTGATTTAATAAATTAGGTTTATTTATCAAATTAATTCGATATGGAATTAAACAATAATAAAATTTTATTTTAATTAAAATTTATATTAGATTAATATAATAGTTCGATCCATGCAAAATTAGATAACAATAAGTAGATATTTGAATGAAATATTGTCTTAGTTAAATATTTATTTGATAAATTTTAGTAAAGATAACAATATTATGTAAATAAAACTATTTTTAATATATTTGCTCTTTAAAGAACCTTTTTGAACAGACATTTGCGCGTGAGATGAACCAATGTAGAGTTTTAATCAACCCAAACAACTTGTTGGATGCTAATTAATTTTGGTTAATACAAAAATTGTTTGCCATCCCTACAGTAACTTGCTACGTCTAGATGGAATTGAATCCACACGAATTGCTGATGTGGTCACCTTCCATGAAACCCGTGCCTTATGAGGCACGACTCCATGCTGTATTTTTCTTTTTATTAATTTGACAAATGACAAGTCGCGCTGCTCCTGTGAGATTGACCTGTATATGTGGTCTGAAATTGGGAAAAGGGCATGCCGACCTACGACAATGGAAAATGACCGTCACGTATCTCAACTTTATAAAAAAAACATCATTTAGGGAAATAGTCCTCCAAGTTACAGGATATCATATTATTAAATCATTTGACTATTAAAATTTATAAAATGATCTTATAACTATAGAATATTACTTTATTAAATTCCTAGACTATTAAAAATTATAAATTGGTCCTATGTCTATTCATTATATTCAAAACTAATCATTTCTATTAAAAAATTGACGATAGTGTAAGTTAGACGTTAACATGATGACTGAGATATGATAACTATTTGAGGTTATGAGATCAAATTTTATCATATCACAGTTAGCAAATTAACGTTCAACTCAAAATACCATAAATTTATTAATGAAAAAGGACGAGCTTGAAACATAGTGAATAGTCAAATGACAATTTCATAACTTTTAATAGTCGAATGACTCAAGAAATAAACATTTTGTAGTCGAAGGTTCATTTTATAACTTTAAATAGTTGAGAGACTTCATAAAGAAGTATCCTATAGTTGGGTGACTAATTGTGTACTTTACCCTTTAATTTAATAATAAAACTCCATAATTTATTATTTTATTGATTAATCTTAATCTCGTTAATCATGTTCAGGCAATAAATCTCATCCATTTATTTGGTAGTGTGAACCATGTTCACGCAATAATCTCATCTTTAATTAGGTTTAATTATGATACTCATTTTTAATTAGTCTTTAAACTTTAAAATATTCTACGTTAGTCTTTAAATTATAATATTCATTTTAAATTGATCCTTAAACTTTAAAACTTTCTATATCAATCCTTTTTGAGTAATTTGGGTGATTACAATGTAATATATGTTTGAAATACTCTCAACCTGTTGATAATAAACACTCATACACTCTTGTAGACGTCGTGTTCCAACCTGAGACCTCTATAGATAATTTATTTTTAATCTTCCTTTAATGCGCAATTAACTCTATTAATTTTTATAGGTTTTGAGAATTGAATATGTGACAAACAACATTTAATTTATTTTTGAAGATATTGAGATTTTAACGTGTGCCATTCTATAAAATATATTTTATTTTTAAAGGGTTTTATGAATAAAAAATTGGAGTTCTTTAATTTTTTTTTACCAGTAAATGGATTAAATTGATACAATCCCTATTAATAAGGGCAGATAGTGAATTTTGTAAAGAAAATATTGGCTTTATATGATTTCCCCCCTAATATAAGGACTAAATCCATCTATTTAATAATAGATGGATTAATTTAAACCAATCTCTATAAGAAAAGGACTAATTTGAAACATCTTCTATAATAACGAGATTACATTGATCTATTTAATAATAGATTGACTAAATAGATATAGTCGAATAATGGAGGAACTTGAGAGAGGTTGAAAAAAATAAAAGAATAGTTAATTAAGAAAAAGGGAAATGAAAGGAACGGAGTAATTTTGAAAATCTATTGAAATAAGCTTTGCCCAATAACAAATTAAGCTAAGGTAATGGTCATCCAATACGTAAACCAGAATCTAGATCGTCCTTCCCTCTGCTATATAAAGAGAAGAAGGCTCATCCAGAATTTCATTTTTAGTCAGCAGAATTTTCACTATAAATATGGATTTCTCTTGTTTGAAATATCCGTCATCTTCTTGTTCATTTGAATGGATTTCGTTATCGCTCCGTCGTCTTTCTCTTCTCTTTTGAATCATAATTACAATAAGAATAATATTTTTTATTGTTGTTATAATAATACATTTAATCAGAACAAGAATAAATCCCGCTTTTCAGTGCCATCGACTGCTGCTTTGACAAAGTTCAACACGGTTGCTTTTGGTTACGATTACCGGAGGAATCCCTGTTGTTTGAGGATTGCGTGTTCCAGACCTGGAGTCATGGATTCGTCTAAGCCTGACATTTCAAAGCCTAAGATCGTTACCGGTCCCGGCGGCTATGTTCTTGAAGATGTTCCTCACTTGTCGGATTATATTCCCGATCTTTCTGTATTCTTTTCTTAACCTCCTCCTACATATAATTATACGCATCTTTGCTTCCCCCACCCCACCCCTCTTTGATTCTATCGTTGCCGGTAAAAAATATTAAAAAGAAAATATAACTGTCTTTTGAAAAACTAATTTTCCCCGTCTTTTTGTCGGCAATGAATCTCAAAAAAAGTAAAAGAAAAAGAAAAAAAAGATTTAAATATTTTTCTATCACATCAAAATTGATTAAAAATGCGGTTTTTAAATTTTATGTTACCTTTTTCCTATGGCAGTGTTACCCCAACCCGTTGCAAGACAACCCGGCATACTCTGTTGTTAAGTAAGTACGGTTTATTGCTGCTTTATACAAAATCTGCTTGTTATAGTATTAATTGTCAGTTATGGTAAATTAGTACTGATTGGACCTGTTTAACCAGGCAATATTTTGTCCATGTAGATGACACCGTTCCTCAAAAGGTTAGGCGTCGTTACATGTAATACTCAAACTTGTGTCTTGGACTTTGTTTATTTTTATTTTAAATTCTATTTTTTGTTTATAGATTGTTGTTCACAAGGATAGTCCCAGAGGAATACATTTCCGACGAGCCGGACCACGTCAAAGGGTATGTGTTCAATGTTTAATGTTCTTTATGAATGAGATGAAACTGTGGATTGTATTTTTTACAGTGACGTGTTGGATGTCTGATAGGTGTATTTTGAGTCTGATGAAGTTCATGCCTGTATAGTGACTTGCGGCGGACTCTGCCCCGGACTCAACACTGTGATCAGAGAGATAGTATGCGGCTTGTACCACATGTATGGTGTGAAGAAAGTATCAGGGATAGATGTAAGTGATGAGCCTTACCAATAGTTTGTTGTCCTTGCCGCATGGGCTTGTGCATAGCCTACCATTTTCATTACGACCTTTCCCTTGATTAGAAGATGGTTTTGTAGGGAGGATACAGGGGATTTTATGCTAAAAATACAGTGCACTTGGATCCCAAGGCTGTTAATAATATCCATAAACGTGGTGGAACGATCCTTGGGACATCACGAGGTGGGCATGATACCTCGAAGATTGTTGACAGCATCCAGGATCGAGGCATTAATCAGGTATGCTTCTGATTGTTGCCAGTAAGTTGTTCAAGACGTGCCAATCTAACAGGCATGATGGTTTGTCAGGTTTACATTATTGGAGGAGATGGAACCCAGAGAGGTGCATCTGTTATATTTGAGGTGATTTCTTGAATACTCTGATTCATTTGCTATGTGAACTTGTGCATATGTAAAAAATGATTTGCACTTGACAGGAAATTAGGAAGCGTGGTCTCAAAGTTTCAGTTGCTGGAATTCCCAAAACCATTGACAATGACATCCCGGTAATCGTCTTGGATTGTTGCTGTGCAATATTACTTGAAACTTTGTTTACTTTTTCGAACATGACAGGTCATTGACAAGTCCTTTGGCTTTGACACTGCTGTTGAGGAGGCTCAACGTGCCATTAATGCTGCTCATGTTGAAGCTGACAGTATCGACAACGGTATTGGTGTTGTAAAGTTGATGGGTCGCTACAGTGGTAAATTTTTGTTTGAAATGCATTTCATCAAGAGAGGGTACATATGTCTTAATTAACTAGGAGATATGGCCAGGTTTTATTGCAATGAATGCCACTCTTGCTAGCAGAGATGTGGATTGCTGCTTGATACCAGAGTCGCCCTTTTATCTAGAAGGAGGTGGAGGACTTTTCGAGTACATCGAAAGACGGCTTAAAGAGAACGGGCATATGGTTATCGTGATAGCAGAGGGTGCTGGACAGGAGCTGCTTTCTGAGAGCATGACACAGAAAGATGCTTCAGGAAACAAGCTTCTCAAGGATGTTGGGCTATGGATATCACAGAGGATCAAGGTTTGGTTCAACTCTTTCATTCATTTGTGTTGTGATGCCAACTTTTGATGTTGTCGTTTTCAGGATTATTTTTCAAAGCAAAGGAAGATGCACATAAACCTCAAATATATAGGTTAGTGGAAGCAGAGGTGCATGTTTATGTAGCTAGTTAATGGCACAAGTAGTGAGCATTGAACTTTTTGTTTGCGGACAGATCCTACTTACATGATTCGTGCCATTCCTAGCAACGCATCGGATAATGTTTACTGCACACTTCTTGCTCAAAGCGCTGTTCATGGAGCCATGGCAGGATACACTGGTTTTACAAGCGGTCTTGTTAATGGCAGGCAGACATACATACCATTCAATGTGAGTGCGTTGCATGCTTTCATTTGTCCCGGTTTCATGGTTGACACTGAAGAGGGATTTTCTGCAGCGAATTATAGAGAAACAAAACAAGGTTGTGATTACGGATAGGATGTGGGCAAGGCTTCTGTCTTCAACAAATCAACCAACCTTTTGGAGCCCCAAAGTCTCCATTGCAGACAAAGGCAGTGAGGATGAGTTGTCGGACAATGGAATTTGTGGGCAAGAGGATCCTCGTTTCAACTGAGGTCGGTTCTTCCATTCCTCGTTTCAACTGGGCATTTCATGTTGAGTCATAATTTCTAGCTGATCCTTGTAATTGGTACGATGAAACAGGCCACAGTGGCAGGCAGGCGCGGCATTAGGCCAACACAAGGGACCTTGTGTTTTCATAAGTAGGAAATAAACGTATATAATAACTAATAATTGTTCCTTTACTTTGAATCCTAAATTACAAGTTGGGAAGTTTTTTTATTACATTGCAATTTTTTTATGAGTTACACAAGAATTGAATTCTTATTTTTGATGTCAACATAAAATCATTTACCCCTTGCTTAGTTGTATTATTGATATTTTAAATTTATTTTATAAAAATTTAATTAATATAATCATGTAAAATTTATTTTATAAAAAATTAATTAATATAATCATGTTAATTAATATAAGAATTGAATTCTTATTTTTGATGTCAACATAATATATGCTTAAAATCTTCTAGGAAGAACAATACTCTTTTTTACTATCGAGATTGATTAATAAATTTAATATTAAAGATCTGAAATGATTATATTAAAAAACATAAATTAAATCTATAAATTGATCACAAAAAGTAATAAATTCGGGTATGGTTGATCACACCATTGCTATTGCTCTTCCATCGATGGACCCATATTCTTTAACCAAAACTCCCACAACATGAGCATTTGTTGAAAGCTTTAGAAGCAGCAGGAAATGGAACTTCAAAGCCATTTGTTGCACAGAGGAAGCCGCTGCGTGCCAAGGTATTGGATGCTTCTCCACCTGTTCTCACAACTCATTTCTCAAGTGCTTTTGTATCCCATCCTTCTTTATCCCAATCAACATGTAATATTGATATTTTCTAGAACCTTTCTAAGTTATCCCTATCAGTGATCAAACCAATGATACACAACCCAATTTAACAAAACATACTGTACATATTAATGAAACATGAATACTGGCTTCTATTTGTACTAAAGATGTTACAAGAATTGACCCATGACTTCTTCAATCATAGCTACATTTATATAAGTTGCAGCGATCCACAAGAAAAATGAACAAGACATACAGAGCAGTTCACATATATACCAAAATATATTATCTAAAGTTTAAGGGTCAAATTGACATTTTATCTAAAGTTTATTCATTAAATTAATATCTTATCTAAACTTCAAAATTTAAATTAAAAATTAATCCCTTTTATTAACGTGCCATGTCATCAAACTAACGAGATTTAATATCTCAATAATCAAAATATCATAGATCAACGATCAAGATATTATTTTAAAAATTGGTGAGAAAAAAGGAACACATTTACCCTAAACAATATCTCAAATTGACTTTTGATTCTTAAAGAATTTTTCGCTAAAAATATGTGACTAATGTTTTCAACGTTACACTTTAAGTGTCTGGATTGTAAAGACTGTTAAATTTGACCGTTATCTGACACAAGTCACGCATATAAAAGTTTAAAAATTTATTTTTATTTTTTTAAAAAGCTTAATATTATAATTAAAAAACCCAAAATTTATTTATCCTGTCTCGATTGACCACCATTGTTCTGTGGTCGTCGTCACAGTTAACACCATCAGAATCGTCTCGCCATTGCAATCAAAACTCAGTCCTCCATCGACCATGAAATTGTGTCAATCGTCGTGAAAAGCTTCGCGAAGGGTTTCCATATTTCTAGGTTTTCCTTCGTTGTTTTCCAATGATTTCGACGATTCTAACTGTTCATACATTACACGACCTCCACCATTGGGTTTCTCGCCCTGCTCCGAACAAAACCCAACCAATGGGGTGATGGGAGGGAGAGGGACGATGCAGGCAATTTGATTTTTTTGATTTTTTTTCATTTTTTAAATATTATTTTTATTCTTAAAAAATAAAAAAACTAAAACATAGATAACTAAAAGTGTAACGGAGAAAACATTAAATACTTACTTTTAATAAAAAATCTTTAAACGTTAAAAGTTAATTTAAAGAATAATTTAGTCACTTGAAAGTGTATTAAGCAATTCAAAATTACTTAAAAAAAGTTAGGTAAAATGATTACAAATTTTGCTGAGAATTTATGACAATAAGTGCTTTGGTCTTCAATATGAAAATAAAAAAAGGAGGAACAATGATGTTGAAAATAGCTTCTAAGTCGAGCATTTAGCCGTCAACACATGGAACCAAGTTAATATTGCAGTCCGTTCTGCGTACAACATAATTGTGGTTTTTGTAATTTTCCCCCCATCCGAAAACTAAAAGAAGTCTATTTGGGTTAAAGCTTAAATTGTGCAATAATATTGATCAATAATAAGTTCATTTTTTATGAAAAATATTATGTTTATCCCAAATGAATTATAGGCTTTTAAATCATGTTTCTTTTTATTTAGGAGTTTTTTTTTTATTAAACACTTCAATTTCAATTTTTTAAGAAGAGCAAGTGATTAAATAATATATATTCAAGTGTTAGTACACTTCCCAAATTCAGTCATCGATTCCTTACTCATCATGCAGAGGAGAGAAAAATTCCCGACTCATTATTGCATGGAATAGCCAAAATAATTGGATCATACTAGTGGTTAACAGCCGGCCAAGAGTGAGCACATCTATAGCTTATTTGGGACTAAAACCAAAACATCTAATAATGTACGTTAAAATGCAAACCTTTATTTAGTTAACGAAATCTTTTTTATGTACATTTAGTTTAAAACAATTTATGCAAATACAAATTTAGAAGTCAAGATTCAATAATACAATATGTGTGTGTGTGGGGGGGGGGGGTTGTCTCTTTCAAGTTTTGCAACATGAGCAAAATCAGTTCTCTACCAGACACCTGCAAATCATATATATGAGAAAAATAAAACAAATATCCCATCACGGCATGTTATGGTTAACTCCATGATAAGAATAGAAGGCATTAATATCTATATGTAATTTCCCCCAAAATAAACTGAACTAGAATGAATTACCTTAAAGTGCCATCTCAGACTGCAGTGCGGCTAGTTCATCTTCCTCACTTGTGCGCTTTTGAGGAACATTACGAGCTGGTTGCCTGCCCGCAGGAGCCTGCACTGTAGCTGCAGGAGCAGTTGTTGCAGGCTGGAGAAGCTGTTCTTCCAACTCAGCTCCTTCAAGTTCTTCAAGTTCCGCTTCTAATTCATCCTAGACCATCAAAAGTTGAGACCTTTGGTAGATGTACAAAAATGCTATACGTGATATTCGTCAACAATAGATAATAGCAGGATAAAAAGGAAGAAAGAATGCATCAGAAAGTAATAACCTCGTCAAAATCGGCAGCAGCTCCAATGGGAGTTGACAATGCTTCCTGAATCTGTTTCATATTCTCGGTTTGTTCATTGATCTCATCCATTGTTTTGTCAACATCATCTATATTCCTGTAAAAAAACGTTGTATTTGGTAAAATCGTGAGAATTATAATTATTCACTGCATGTGCTTCATTAAGGTCAAAAAATAAGTGCTAATTTAGATCGTCTAAATTTGAAAGTCGCACACTTCAATAGTATGGTGATATGATAAGGCAACTGAACCAAATACAATGAAAAATATAAAACCCAAGGCTACGTTTGGAAGGGGTACTATTTCTTCCTCGTGTTTTTATATATGAATTACTAAGAAATGAACTTCACTTGGTAATATATATAGCCACTCCTATGACTTTAGTTTAGACAACGAGAAGGATCAAAAATTCCTTATTTTGAATAAGTATTGTTTTTTTACTTGAATTTTTACTCATATTTCTAATTTCAAGTTTAAATATGTACTATATTATGACAAATGTAATAATTAAGTTTTTTCGATTGATAAAACCCATGCAACCAAACATAACATAAAAGCAATTTTTTTTCTAACAGTAGAAATACATCTATCACATACGTTGCTTTCTGCATTGCTTTCATTGCCGCTGCTCCAGTTCTTAATGCATCTACAGTCTCCGTTGTGGCTTTAGCACCTTCTAACATTATCATCTGTAGAAGTAGACTTACAGTAATAATTATGGCCGCAAGAGGAACTGTAGCAAATTCAAAAAGCCTCTTACGACACAGTTAAAACGCTACAAATAATAAATTCAAGTTCACCTGATCATGAATACGAAGCTCGAAGTTTCCGAGCTGTTCTATTTGCTGTTCATATAGTCTTTTTCTCTTCAAACACTGTATAGCCGCTGCATACGAGTAGCATCAATAAGTACTAAGAGCAGACAATAGATTATGGCAATGTACATATGGTTTCAAATTAAGTAATCATTATAAAAATACATTGTTAAAATATTCAAATATTTTTTGACGAGGATAAGACTTCCCAATGTCATATTTGCAATGGCAGCACATTACAAATCAGAAATCCAGAATTAAACCTAAGCAGACTAATGTAATCTGCATCAAGGCATCAGTCAATGTCCGAAGAACATTAAGAACACAGTTATTAAGAAACCAAAAGACCACAGAGACAAGACACGGTAAAACATTTGAGCTTTTTTCTTCTCTTTTGTAGCATCTTCACACTAACGTGTTCTGTCCTTTCTTTTGGATATTGAAATAATCATAAACTACGCGGAAGGAGAATTATTTACTGGAAAAAACCCAGAAAATTTCTAATAATATAAGTACTAAAGAAATACGATTAATAATCATGAAACTCCAGCATAAGTAAGCTAGAAGCCCTCGCATGAGTCTGCAGCAAGATATTTATGCCCTTTAACAAATCAAGAAACCAAACATAAAAGCTAACATTATTCACAAAGTCAAAAGTCAGCCACATCCGTTGAAATTTGATATATATTTCTGCATATACATCGCAACTACACCTCTCTTGTTTTTCGCTTTGGTGAATTCCTTGACCTTTTCAACCTCTGCAGCAGCCTTCTTCAGAAGTACTTTTTCCTTTTTCTCTAGCATTTCAAGGGTCTACATGATGAAGATCAAAATAGGGTTCAGTCAGGCAAAATGTAAGAGAGAGACAAAGTATACTTTAATCAGTTGAAACGAATAAAGAGCCCAATTTGCACGGCATGGAACAACATTGATTAAATTTCTATAAAAAGATGAATCCCAATCATTATGTCAAATTTTAGTGAGATCAGCAAGGAATATGTACACAATTAAAAAAATACCCTTAAATACGATTATATTAATTTGTACTATAAGTGTAAGGAACAGACAAATTCCGTGTATTAATTTATTTTTATGTCCAGCAAACTACTACATATATAAGTACAACATTTATGATTAATTTTCAAATTTATAGATTTGTTGGACTCATGAGATTCATGTTTTCACACCGTTCAAATAAATGATCATACAGAATTTTAATACATAATATAATCATACAGAAACTTAATACATAATCTTATACATTATCACAATTTATATAACAAATGAAATCTAAATTCTATTCTTCATATTCATATTTCAAGACATAGCCCAAAATGCAAAATAGATCCAACGTAAATAACCGAATTGCAGATCAAAAAGCATAATCAAGAATATACCTCATGTAATTTATCTAGCGAGGTTAGAGCATTTGGTTCCTGTTTAGGTTTTCCTAAAAGCCGGTTAAACATGGTTAATTCCCCGCGATTAAACCCCCGATCTTCTGCTTAACAACAACCGCCAATGTGATCGGATCAAAAGAAACATAAGCAACCAGTTGAAAACAGAAGACGACGAACAAATCAATCGATTAAAAATAAACGCCGAGAAAAAGTCCAAAATTATCGCAAAATGGGAGAAAAGTTCTCACCTGTGGAATTGAGAGAGAGGGAAATATCTCTGGATTTCTTGAAGGAAGGAAGGAAGGGGGCGGGGGCGGGGGATTTTAACAGATTTCAACAGAAAGAAGAGAGTAATAAAGAAAAACAAAATATTGTTGTTTGGTTGATGTAAGTAATGGAAAAAATATATTTTCGGGACTGATAATAAATCTTTAAAATAGCATATATATATATATATATATATATATATATATATATATATATATATATTTGGATAATTATAATTTTATTACCCAAATAGAAATCGTTCATCATACAACTGTCATCCCAATTGGGAGTATTAACACATATTTACAAAAAGTTAGTTTATACTCTAATAATTACAAAGTCTAGAATTAACATAGTCTAGTCTATTAAAACCCTTATCATTGATTTTGATTCGAACAAGCTCTTTAATAGCCTTGAGAAGTTGGTTTGTTGTTCTTGTTCCTCTGTTGAAAATTCTTCTGTTTCTCTCCTCCCAAATGAAGTATATGAAAGCAGTCCAGGTGATCCTCATTACAGTAGAAAGAAGAGATTTGCCCTTCCATGTTTGAGCAGCCCATTGAAGCCTTGAATCCCAAGACCTGTGAGTATCTCTCATGCTAGATATATTCATAATAGAATTCCATAGTGAAGTAGCATAAATACAGTCAACAAACAAATGATTTCTAGATTCATGGTCCTCATTGCACAGAATACAAAGACTTTCAGACGCAATACCCATTCTAATAAGCCTATCTCGAGTAGGAAGACGATCCAGAATTGCTATCCATGAGATAATGCTTAGCTTTGGGATGTGAAGTGGAAACCAAATCACCTTTTGCCAAGAAACCTTGTTTTTATGAACTCTTATATTTTCCCATAATTCTTTTGTATTCGTGGCACCAACATTTAAAATTGAAAAGGCTTCATTTTTTATTTTCATTAGTTTTATGATGGTCCAGCTGTGGGAAGAATTAACATTAATGTCATTTAGATCATTATTTTTAATAACATAGCAGTGAATCCAAGCAACCCATAGTGAGCCCTCTCCAGCTATTATTTTCCGTATGAGTTGTAACGTGCAAGCTTTATTCCATGTATGAATGTTCTTCAACCCAATACCTCCTTTAGATTTGGGACAACAAAGTCTATCCCAACTAATCATAGCACCTTTAGCAGCTGTATCATTTACTTTCCAAAGAAAATGAGAGAAAAGTTATTCTAGACGTTTGATAACTTTCTGAGGTAGGATAAATTGCATATTCCAAAAGTTAACAACGCTGTATAGAACAGTTTTAATAAGCTCAAGACGACCAACATAACTTAAAAGTTTACCAGACCAATGATGAAGCCTATGTTTAATATTATCGTAGAGAGGTAGACAGTCTTTTTCAGTAAGCTTCTGAGTAACTAGAGGAACTCCAAGGTACCTAATAGGCAGGAAACCTTGTTTGAAGCTAGTGACAGATTTAATGGAGTCCAGGGTTCTATCCGGAATACCAGCCGCATAAAATTCTGTTTTATTAACATTGAGGTTCATACCAGATAAAACATAGAAATGGTTTAAAACACTTGTAACTCCAACAATAGATTCAAGGTTTCCTTTGCAAAAGATTAAGAGGTCATCAGCAAAAGACAAGTGAGTAATACCAAGTTTTTTGCACTTAGGATGGTATCCAAAAATACCTCTAGTGGCAGCAAGATTGAGAATTTTAGAGAGGATATTCATAGCTATCACAAAAAGGATTGGAGATAACGGGTCTCCTTGACTAATACCTCTCTGACCCTTGAAATACCCTATTAGACTGCCATTAAAAGAAATGGAATATCTAGCTTCTTTGAAGCAAGTTTCAATCTATTTTGCGAAAATGGGAGGTAGTCCTATGGCTCTAAGAATGGAGGAGATGAAATCCCAGTTTAGGGAATCAAAGGCTTTTTGTAAGTCAATTTTAAGGGCACATCTTAGTGAAATATTCTTTTTACCATAACCTTTGACTAATTCTTGTGCAAGGAGGGTGTTGTCAATGATAGATCCACCTTTCACGAAAGCGGTTTGATTAAGGGATATAAGGTCAGGCAACATCAAATTCATTCTTTTGACAAGGATTTTAGTAATAGTTTTGTAGACTACAGAACAACAAGAGATAGGTCGAAAGTCCCTAACTTTGCTAGGATTCTGGATTTTAGGAATCAAGGCAATGATGGTGGAATTAAAAGCAGGATGGATATTTGACTCTTGAAAGAAGTATTTGACAGCATCAACAAAATCATCCCCTATGACAGACCAGGAGTGTTTGAAAAAAAGAGGAGTGAAACCATCAGGGCCTGGGGCTTTGTCATTCCCTTGGTTAAATAAAGCTTCTTTGATTTCATCAATAGTAACATTTTTAATCAGATCAGTAATAACCTCAGTAGGCAGATGGATTTGAAGCAAGTTTCTCAAGGTAAAAGGGTCAGGAGGTTGAACTTTAGGATCAGTGTCACCTAATTGATAATGGAAGAATTCAATTATTTCATTAGCCATATCATCATAAGTCTCAAGCCTTTTACCCTCATTATTAATAAGAATCCTTATGGTGTCTCTTTTATTTTTAGAGGCTATGGTAGAATGAAAAAGTTTGGTGCATTTATCTCATTCTTTGATCCATTGGACTTTTGCTTTTTGTTTAAGGAATATATAGTCAGTTTCCTCTAAATCATTCATCTCCTTTTGAACATTCAATTCTTTATCTAAAGAATTGTTTCCATTAAGATTTGAAATCTGAATTTGTTCCAGTTCTTTCTTTTTAAGCCTTACCCTAGCAGAGATATCACTATAGTTATCCTTGTTAAGCTTCTGCAAGCAAGGTTTTAAGCATTTTAACTTGAGAAACAATTTAATCATAGGGTTTCCTTGGGAAGGTTGCTGCAAGGAATGGAGGACATGTTCAAGGAAATTATGGTGCTTAGACCAGAAATTGAAAAATTTAAAAGGCTTAGGCCTATTTATTTAAATCTCTTTATTTATCCAGGCAAGAGCCATACAGTGATCTGAAGGGCCTGAGGCTGTAAATTCTACAAAAGAATTCTGAAAAGAAGTAGCCCAGAGGGTGTTAATTAACACTCTATCTAGCTTCCTTGCAAGATACGTATCTTTTTGTTTATTGCTCCAAGTATAGGTAGGGTCAAAGAAAGGGTGATCATAAAGAGAAAGATCTTGAACCAATTCTTGAAAGTCAATCATTTTAGAGGATGAATATGGTTCGAGAATAAGAGAATCATAGCTTTCTTTATGGTGAAGATAGGTATTAAAGTCACCTCCCAGAATCCAAGGGAGAGACCCAAACCTAATATTAAGGTTTTTGAGGTGTTGCCAAAGAAATCTTCTAGAAGATCCACTGTTACTACTGTAGATAGCAGTGATAATAAAATGAGTGTTATTAAAAAGACATTTAGCAGTAATGCTTTGATCAGTAGAGTGGCGGAGAGAAATATCGATCCCTTTTTTTTTTCCAAAGAAGCCACATTCTACCATTAATAGCAGAATCATAGTTGGTGAGAACATTCCAACTCCCTAAAGTAGTATTGAAGATTTTCGCAGAATTTTCAGGTTTAACTCGAGTTTCCAACAGACAAAGAACATCAACTTTGAAGAGATTAGCACGGTTCAGAACATTTTTCTGTTTTTGAGGATTATTGAATCCCCTAATATTCCAAAAACAAATTATCATTGGAAAATTGAGGAGGATGAACCCTCTGAATTTCCTTCTGAGGTAAGTTTGACTTTTAGGATTTGTTCTTTCTTTTTTGACTTTAGCTCGTTGATTAATTTAGCAACTCCAGCAACAGCTGGCCTTGTTTTCTTTACTAGCAGCTCGTTTAATGAAGAGTTTTCTTCAACTGTTGAGAGAATTTCGAACCTATTTGCTGAGCCTCTTAAAGCTGATTTAGCTTTAATCTTTAAAGGCCTACCTCTTCATCTTTTAGATTTGAAGGAGTATCATTAGAATTGGTTGCAGATTCATGAATTTGTGTATTATCATAATTAACTAATTCTACACCAAGAGGAAGGGTTTGGAACTTATTCCCTTCATTCGAAATATTATGAAGATGATTAGAGGATTCGATATAAACAGGTTGATCCTTTAGGAAAGATTCTGGTTTTGTTATTGAATTGTTATCAGCAGAATTAACAGTTTCCTTTAAGGAGGAAGAGTCAGGCAGAGAGACCTTCAAGGATTCTAAAGTTTGATTTTTTGAATAACATTATCAATAAGAGGTGTCTTTTTTCTCTAGATTTTAAGTTGTGGAGGGGCAATATTTGTTTTGTTAATGCATTCTTTAACATAATGGCCAAATGTACTACATTTTCTGCATCTATAAGGGAACCAAGGAACTTCGACAAAGATTACGGAAGTTTTGCCATTTGCAAGAATAACTTCAACAGTTTCTGGTATGTCTTCCTTTGCTCCTATTTCGATACAAACCTTAGCATATTCTAGCCTAGTTTTCGATGCGGTAATTGAGTCCATTGTTACTGGGACTCCAAGAGCACTGGCTATGTAACTAAGGCCTTCTCTTGAGTATAGTTCTAAGGGAATGTTATATAAATGAATCCATAAAGGGGCAATCTGGAAAGATCAAAGTTCAATATTTGCATATTGGGTTCCCACTTTCGAAGGATTAAAGGTTTGTTGAGTATATGCCACGGGTCATTCTCAAGAACCCAATCCATAGCAACATCAAAATTGGAGGTAAAAATATAGAGATTTTTACCTGCGATGCTTACCTGCGCGCGAGCACCTGTCAAAGGCTGGTTCCAGAGTTTGTCGATGGTTCGTTGGAGGGAGATGAAATTCGGAGCAGCCCCTAAGAACTGACCCACCAGAGAATTTTTCCACTCAGCCGTACTAGCCTCTAGGACCTCAAGGGGAGGTTGAACGATTAGGGATTTATCGCTCGTATTTGGTGGAAAATAGTCGAGTTCATGTCCTGCTTGACACCCCGAATAATTTACGCCAGTCCATTGCTCGATGGATGAAGGAATGGAAAGTGCTAGACAAATGAATCACACTGGAAAACAGATTGAATCGTCGGCGACGGGACGAGAATCGTTGGGTCCGATAGACCTACTATCGTGCACCCGGAGAGAATCGTAGCGTGCGCCTCAACGATTAGTTTTTTTTAACTGGAAATTGATGTTATTTTCAATCTCACGCTGCTAGTTTTTTAAATAGCATATATATTTATCATGTGGATACAATCAAATTAAAAACTATGATTTAATTTATTTAATTTTAAAATTAACAATAACTTAAAACAATTTAAACTAAATATGATGGTCAATGATTAATTTATCTTATTTTAAAATTTTATTTATTATTAAATTAAGATGATTATAAAATAATATGGGGATTTTAAAGTTAACAATATAACCGTGACGTCACCGTTATGAAAGTGTAAATAGATTGTTGTTTCCGTCCGTCGACCTTATGAATTCACCTAAAGCAAAACAACCTCGCTACTGCTCCAGTGTTTGCAGTTAGCAACTCTTTTCCCTGCTCGACTGTCTGTTACGGTGTTCCCCATACAAAGGCCATTGGGTTTCATTCACTTCATCGTCTTCACACCCAAATCTCAAATCCACAATCGTTTCATTCTGATGGCTTGTCTCAAATTTATTTTACTGATTTTCACTCTCCATTCATTTATGCCAACACCCATCTCTTCAAACCCTTCACTAAGCAAAGAAGTCTTGCCTCGAATCCGACCCGACTTCCTTGAATTTGCCAAGAAACCAGAGATCATGGATTGGATGGTTGGTATTAAAAGAAAAATACACGAGAATCCTGAACTCGGTTATGAAGAGTTCCAGACTAGTAAGCTTATAAGAGCTGAGCTTGATCTGATGGGGATCCCTTACAAATACCCAATTGCTGTTACTGGTATTGTTGGCTATATTGGTACTGGAAAGCCACCTTTTGTCGCGCTTAGAGCAGATATGGATGCTCTTGCCATGGAGGTAGTTTGATTTAGTATTGTTGATTCTGGTCAATCGCATCACTTTCATCATGTAGCATATTTTTCTGTGGTTATGATCTTGTGAATTGTGATTAAGATAAAAAATACTAGTACCTTTTCTTTTCTTTTTGAATGATAAAGACTAAATGAGTGATTAATTATTCAGAGCTAGTTTTATACTATATTGATATGAAAGGGAATTGTTGGGTTTTGATGTTTCAGGAACTGGTAGAGTGGGAACACAACAGTAAGGTTCCTGGAAAGATGCATGCTTGTGGACATGATGCTCATGTTGCTATGCTTCTTGGTGCTGCAAAGATGCTTCAAGAACATCGAAATGATTTGCAGGTTCCTTGCAATTTTCTGCATGTTAATTGATGTAGCCTCTGTAAAATATTAGCTTCTTTAATATATTTTTAGGTATTCTTTTGTTAGCAATAAATGAGTAATCCAAGCATCAGCAGTTCTTTGTAAATGATAGTAATCCATGCATCATCAGTTCTTTGTTAATGATGCATTCTTAATCAGACTCTGGTTGCATGATTTGATACATCCGCTTTTCATGCTAAATTTTTGTTTTGTTTAATAGGGAACAGTTGTTCTTATCTTTCAACCGGCTGAAGAAGGAGGTGGGGGAGCCAAACAAATGTTGGATGCTGGAGATTTAGATGATGTTGATGCCATCTTTGCACTCCATGTATCTATCAGACACCCAATTGGTGTTGTGGCATCCCGTCCTGGCCCGCTTTTAGCTGCATCCAGTTTCTTTGAGGCTGTAATAAATGGAAAGGGGGGACATGCTGCTCTTCCTCAGCACACAGTAGACCCAATTTTAGCAGCCTCCAATGTGATTGTTAGTTTGCAACATCTAGTTTCACGCGAAGCTGATCCCTTGGTTCTCAGGTTATCTGTGTGTCCTTTGGTCATGGGCCCCAACAGTCAGTGTTAGCTTTATTTTTTATTTTTTGAAAAACAGTCGGTGTTAGCTGATGCATGGTCTGGTGTGGTGGAACTTTTGTTTCTTTTTTTCTTCTTTCCCCAAAGCAATTACATTTCGCTTATAAATTGCACTGTTAAATAGATTTCACTTCTGTTCAAAATTGTTGCAGATTTCATTTCTATTTCTTATTGTCATATGTTTTCTGCTGAAGATGTTTGTGTGAATTTGAGATACTTTCTTCGTGACATCAAGATGCATTTATATTTAACTAGCTTAAAGGAAACACAAACTTGTCGCAGGTTGTTAGCGTTGGAAAATTCCAAGGCGGTGGAGCCTTTAACGTCATTCCAGATTCTGTGACCATAGGTGGCACTTTTAGGGCATTTTCGAAAGAAAGCTTTGCTCAACTCAAACATAGGATTGAGGAGGTACTGTTGTTTCTTACATCCAATCTGTCTAACTTTGTTCTTGATAACAAGAACTGCTTGTTGGAAGCTTAAGATGATTCTACACCTTCTTTGTCATTTATCTTTTCCCCTTCTGCACTGGTGTTTTGGGCGGGTTCTCCATTTACTTCGTGTTGGAAAGTTGCAGGTTATTACAAAGCAAGCAAGTGTGCAGAGATGCAATGCAAAAGTGACCTTCGATGAAAAGTCCACTTACCCTGTGCTCTTCAACAACAAAGAGTTGCATGAACGTTTCAGACAGGTTGCAGGGGAAATGTTGGGTATTCAGAATGTTGTAGAAGCAGAAGTTGAGATGGGAGGAGAGGACTTTGCATTCTTTTCAGAGGCGATTCCTGAACTTTTTTTCTTTCTCGGAATGAATAATGAAACTCAGGGACCACCTCAACCGAGGATAGAAAAGCATTCCCCACACATAATAGACCATTGAACTCGTTTTTCTTGGAAAATAAACCTAAAATTTGTTTTAATAATTTGTTTAAATTTTTATTAAAATAATAAAATATTTTTTGGTGATCAAATTACATCCTAAACAAAGATTTGTTGTAACTCCTTTAAACTATATTTTTCAATTTTTAAAAGAAACTAAATCTTAATCAAAATGAATTCTAATTTTTTTTTCTTTTTTTCGAAACATTGTAACACTAACAAAATAACTTCTGTTTGAAGCTTAGCAGGTAGAATAATAAGATTTTATTATTTCAAGCTCAAACACAAACTCATCATCTAATTCTACACCTGCAAAACACTATACCTGCCAATCAAAACCCTGAATTTGTATTACCATTTCACTTTCACAACAAATCTCAGACCCGATTCCAACGAAAGTTCAAAGTTAACCTAGTTTAAGATTAAAGGACGACGTAATAAAAATATTATAAAAAAATATAGTGTTACCGATTAAATAATGATGAGATAATATTTTTCCATTTAAGCAAAAAAATGGTATTCGCATAATTTTTACATTTTAATTTTTAAATTTATCTCACTTAAAATATTTTATTACAATAATTAATAAATTACAACACTTATATTTACTTTTTTTTAATCATTTTATTGTATGATAACATTTATCTTTTTAACACTATGTTTAATTAATATGAGAGAGAAATCATGAAACCGGATTAGTTTTTTCCCCACCATAATGATGAGATAATTTATCTTAAAGATGAATAAAAAAGTCAAATTTGTGAAGAAAACATTGACAGTAGATAATGGTTTTGAGGAAAAGATTACATAACAAATTTGATGTTTTAACCGATTTCCCAGTTCACCGACCTCCTCCCCCATCCCATCGCAGTTCCTTTGTTCGTACTAGTATTTTCTGTTTATAAACACAATCCTTAAATTGAGAAAGCGCAGAGACAAATTGGGAGATGGGTGCAATGACTTGGCCTACACAGGATGAGGTACCGATTTCTCTTTCTTTTGGGGGGTATCAATCTGGGTTTTTTTTTTATTCATTCGCATTGATAAGATTTCATTTCTGATCATTGCTTTATCCTTCCATGCGATTTTATTGCTTTCCAAATAGAAGAGCAGGAGTAGATTCGGTTGCCTCTGCTTTTTTGATCAGTGAATCTGTTTTTCTTTTATTTTCACATTTACATTTACATTTATTTTGGATGAGAATTGGATTGCAGCTACAAGAAATTAGAAAGATAGTGTCTGGAATGTCTGGAAAAGGTACAGAGGACGTTCGGGTTGTTGTATCTCCTTATCGGATTTGTCCTCTGGGGGCTCATGTCGATCATCAGGTTGCTATGTTGCACCTGTATTTGCGTTGATCTCATGTAGAGTTGATTTCTCTTTTTGTTTACCACTCTTGGTTTCTAACGCTTGCAGGGTGGGATTGTTTCTGCTATGACAATTAATAAGGGAATACTATTGGGATTTGTACCTTCTGGTGACACTCAGGTGAGCTTAAGATGGCATTTTCACCTTATAGCTTTTGTAGAACGGGGAGCTGGTTTCTGGAAGTTTTGCCTTCTTTTATACCTTGATCATAACATTTCTGACATTTTTCTATCAACAAACGCATTCTCTCTATCACACACACAACACGCAAACGCATATGTCGGCCTAATGACTTTTTTCTAAGGCTTGAAGGGTATAAAAGAAAACCAACGATCAAGAATTCACGATTCAAAAATCACAACAGAACATGAAAAGAAATAATCTTTTCCTTATTCTTCTATCATCATATCTGTCATTTTATCATTAGATTGAACGGACTTTGGAATGCTTGGTGTAGGTTGCATTACGATCAGGTCAGTTTAAAGGAGAAGTTAGGTTCAGGTATGAGAATCTTCCTTCTCTTGTACCTTGCACTTCCATAATGTCCTTTAGTTTTTTTTTTTTAATTTATCTTTTATATCTTTAGTTCTGATAAAGATCTTTTTTTCATGTTCATTTTTCTACACAGCCATAAAATTGTAATTATTGATTAAAGCTGGAAATTATGTTTGTTACACAGCTCCGTTGCTAGCTGTTCTTTTAATAGGGTTGACTGTGCAATAGACCATTTTATGGAGTAGTCAAAATGGGCCATGAATTGTATTTATGATTATATTGAACTCGTCCCATAGTCAAATACAATCCAATTTGAATAGCTTAAATATCGCAAATGCTGAAGCTATCACAAATAATTGAGTACTTTCATTTTTCTCTCTCTCCCCCTCTCAGCTTTCACTTACCTATTGGTATTTGGTGGGGCTACTTCAACTATTATATATAGAAGAAAGAACCAAGTACATTGGAACTTCTGTGGCTGCTGTTAAAGATGAATCCATACATCGTGCAATCTAATTAGTGTGCTATATACAATTGTACAACCCTCTTAGTCCAAGAGCATTTACATCTGTTTGCTTCAAACAGGATTAGTTGCTGTCATAAATGACATTTTTCTACATGATTATACAAAATACTGCCCCATTTTTAACTTGAATGTTTTGGTGTCATGATATGATAGAGTTAATGAGACCCCAAAGCCAAGGCTGACCATTAGCAAAGGTGAAGAGATTAAAGTAGAGAATTCTTTTCCAACACCAGATGAATTTGGATGGGGCATATATGCTAGAGGAGCCTTGCATGCATTACAGAGTAGAGGGAATCATCTTGCTCAGGTAAGAGTTATTTCCCTGTATTTTTCATACAAAATAATGTTGAAAATATTTAATACCCCCAGAGTGAAAAAATGAAATCATTGGTCTACAATAACCTTTAAGAAGCTAAACCCTTTATTGAAGATAATGAGATGGAATCTGTTTTTAGCCTAGAAAAATATGCAAAATCTGATAATTAAAGATAATTACAGCCTAGTGTCTTCCTTTATAACTGAATTTTCTTTACAAGTTTATGCCACACGTGAGATTGAGAGAACTTTATTATTATTTGTATACAGTGTTAACCCCCTGATTCGATGGCCATGTCTATCTGGTTGCTGAGTATGCCATTGACATTTTACTGACTGTGAAAGCAAATATTTTATTTTAGTTTGTTTTCACTATTTTTTTAAATATATAACTTTTTAAAATTAAATCTACTCATATTTGCAGGGTATCATTGGCTACATCTGTGGATCTGAGGGTCTGGACAGTTCAGGCCTTAGCTCTTCCGCTGCTGTATGTTTATTTTTTTTATTCTGTTTGTTACAGCATATAGACAGCTTAGGTGATACTTGGTGGTAGAGGAAAGGAAGGAAAATCTCAAAATCACTTTTGAGATAAACCAGCACACTGCTATAAGCAAATCCATCCTAGAGCACATAACATGCTTTTTTATGCTACCCTTGGAAATAATAGACCGCTTTTGGACCAAATTGAAATTATAGTTTTTTTTTTATTTATAAGAATTTCAGGCCTCGTTAAAAACCCCCTTCTTGATTAATGGAGTTTATATGAACTCTTTAATCAGTGGAAGGGGGAAAAGAGTGCCTTAGGATTTTATTGAACCATAAAATTACATAAGGTACAACCATCATACACCCCACCAACCAAATAAACTTGAAACAACCATAAAACACCCAAAATATAAGAATAGAATAGGATCAGCCAATTCCTTCTTTAGCTAAGGCATCAGCCTCTAGATTGGCTGACCTATTAATCCATCTGACAACACCTTCTAAAACATTAAGCCTATGGACAATATCTTTAATCAAAAACTCATAAACATTAGGAACTAGATCCTCTTTCTTAATCCAGTCTACCGCAACTTTGCTGTCGCTTTCAATAATCAGACGACCCTTCCTCTCACATAAATTCGCATAGAACATTAGACCCTTTTGAATAGCTTTTAATTCCATAAAAGTTGGAGGGCCCGGACCAACAGTTTCCTTGAAAGAACTTAAAGTCAAACCCAATGAGTCCTTTAGAACACCTCCTATCCCACTCTTCTTCCAATCTCTTGTAGTAGCCGCATCAACATTTAACTTTACAAAACCTTGAGGAGGAGGAGACCAAGGAAATATAGATACAAGCCGATTAGGATAAAGAGAGCACAAATCCCCTAATGAAGGGTCTGAAATAAGAGAATCCTTAGGAATAGACACCTCTTTGTACTTAGCAAGGAACCAAGAAGCTAGTCTAAACCTTGCTAGGAAAAAATATTCAGCCAAATCTAGCTTTCCCCCTTCAAACACAATGAGATTCCTAACTTTCCTAGTAGTCCAAATAACTGCCCCAGGAATAAAAGACCAAATTGTAGAGGAAGACTTCAAATCAGCCCAAGCAAGTAGGAATTTTTTCGCATTAACATGCAAAACAGACTTAATCTTCTAGAAATTCAGAAATTTGTTCCAAATCATCCACACCACCAAACACGTGAAAAACAAGTGCGATGGAGACTCCACCTCCCTCTTACAAAGAGGGCACATAATGTCTACAATTCCTTGTATTCCCCTTTTAACAAGTTATGACCTAACAACCAGCTTCCCTAACACCACCTGCCACATAAAGGACTCCACTCTAGGTGGAATCTGGCCCCTCCAAATAATCTTCTTCCAGAAATATACCTCTTCCGAATCCGAAATAATGGCTGAGCAAATCTTAGTGCCAGATTTAACAGTATGTACCCCATCTCTAGTACCTTTCCAAATCACCCCATCACATAACTCCGTAGATAGAGAAACAGAGGAGATAGCATTCATCAAGTTAACCCACTGTTCTACTTCCCAGTCGTTTAAATTTATTCTAAACTGCACATCCCAACTCCAACCAGATGAGCTATAATTCCCAAATTCAACCAGTGTACCCATTCTGTTTGTGGAAATGGAGAACAATCGAGGGAAAATAATTAGAAGAGGAAAGTCCAACGCCCAATTATCCTGCCAGAACCTAATCAATCTGCCATCCCCAACTCGGAAAGAATACAAACTTCTAAACTTAGAGCCAATACTGTCTTCTTTAAAGTGATTCAAAACCACCGATCTCCAAATCCAAGATACTCTTTGTGGGACTTTGTTGTCAAACATTAACCAAGATGGATCCATATTGTATTTAGAACAAATGAATTCCCTCCAAACAGACCCCCTTTCATTAGCATACCTCCAATACCATTTTGCTAGAAGAGCTCTATTCAAGAAAACAAGGTTTCTAACACCTAAACCCCCCTCGAATTTTGACTTGCACACATTCGGCCAGTTAACCCAATGTATCTTATTTTTACCTACTCCCCCACCCCATAAGAAATTCGCCATAATGGAGTTGAGAGATTTAAGAACCACAACTGGTATCTTAAATAAAGATAAATAATACGTCGGGAGCGAACATAGAACCGACTTTATTAAAACCAACCTTCCTGCTAATGACAGAGAAGCAGCCTTCCACCCCGCTAATTTATTCATAAAATTATTCACCATCGGATTCCAAAGTGCTGTAGAGTTCCTAGTAGCACCAAAGGCAGTCCTAAATATTCAGAGGGAAAACTACCCACAGAACATCCGATAGAATTAGCCCACTGCTGAACTTCTTCCTCGTTCATATTAACACCAAACATTTTACTTTTCTTCAAGTTGAGTTGTAAACCAGAAATCACTTGAAACACTCTAAGCACCCTCTTCACATTTAAAATCTGCGTCTTAGATGCACCACAAAACATAATGAGATCATCCGCGAACTGTCCAGAAAACAGACCCTGTTCCACAGCCTTCACAATTAGTAGATTGAGAAGTTCTCCAATAAAATTAAACAACAGAGGTGATAGAGAGCACCCCTGTCTAAGACCTTTAGCCGTTGCAAATTCCTCAGAAGGAACTCCATTCACTAAAACAGAAACTGAAACTGTGGTTACACACTTTCTGATCCAACCCCTCCACCTGGAACCAAATCCCATTTTCTCCATTACTAGAAACAAAATGTCCCACTCCACCGAATCATACGCTTTCTTGAAATCTACCTTGAAAACACAACCTTTAAGACCATTTTCCCTCCAATAATCCACCCCTTCATTCGCAATTAAAGAACAGTCCAATATTTATCTCCATTGGGTGAAAGCAAATTGAGTACGACTAATTAAGTCTGAAATACAACTCCTCAACCTCCTCGATAGGCACTTAGATAGGATCTTATATAATCCACCAACTAAGCTAATAGGCCTATAATCATCAAGGTCACCACTGTTAGAGACCTTAGGAATAAGAGTAATAAAGGTATGGTTGATGCCATGATCCCAATCTTTCCCCGAATAGAAGTTGAAGAAGAACTTCATAATTTCTCCTTTAAGTGCATGCCAATATCTCTTAAAAAAACCCAAATTAAAACCATCCGGCCCCGGGGCTTTGTTGCTATTGCAAGACTTTAAGGTCTCCCATATTTCCTCTTCAGTAAATTCTTTCTCCAAAATTAAACTCTGCTGAATTGAAATTCTGGAAAAATTCAACTCGATTTCTTTCACTTCTAAGGTCGATTTGTCATTAAAAGCCTTAAAGAAGTGTTCTTTGACAGTGGCTTTTATAACCTTTGGGTCTTGAATAACATTACCCCTGCAAATAAGAGCATTCAACGCATTTCTTTTCCTCCTAACTGAAGCACATGTATGGAAGAATCTGATATTTCTATCCCCATCTTCTACCCATTTGGATCTAGAATTTTGGAACCAAATCTGCTCCTCTATCTTATGCAACTTCCATAATTCTGACCTTAACTCCTTTAACTCAGCAGCTTTCTCATCATAAGTACCATCTTGCTGCTGTTGAACCTCCACTTCTAATTTTTGAATATTCAATTCTATTTCTGAAATTAAAGCTCCAGGAAACTTTTCTCTCTTCCCTGCCCAATTTTTAATGGCAGTTTTGGTTTTTTTCAGAATTTTGAAAATTCCAGCATTCATCTGTATCTCTTTACATTCTTGAATTGAAGAACTGATCACATCCTCAAAACCTGCTTCATCCATCATATAGTTAAACAGTTTAAACAGCTTTTTCCCCCAATTAACACCTCCATTCTCAATTATTACTGCATTATGATCTGACAATGATCTTGGCAGCAAAGACTATGTTAAATCTGGAAAAGCTGCCAAGAATTGGCTATCAACCAAAAATCTATCCAGCCTTACATAGGTCGGTGAATCTTGGTTATTATACCAAGTAAACCTACCTCCACTCAATGACAAATCGATTAGACCTGTAGTAAGAAGAAAACAACTGAAAATCTCTAAAGAATTCCTGTTTTGGCCTCTACCAATATTCTCATCTTCTTGTAGATACACATTAAGGTCCCCTCCAACACAAATAGGCTCAGAATGTCCTCCAATGAACGTGCTTAATTCTTCAAAAAAACTCTCTTTTTCCTCCTCAACCGAAGAACCATACACATTAATGAATCTGCAACTGAAATTATTTGCCCGAAATCTCCCCGATATAGCAATGAATCTTCTGGATGTACACTGATTTTGCAACTCAAATACGTTATCATCCCAGAACAACAGTAAACCCCCTGACGAACCAACCGATGGTGACTCAATAACCCCTTTCAAATTATTTAACCCACTCCTCCTCAAAAAAGACCTTTGAATTTTCTCCAATTTCGTTTCCTGCAACCAAAGAAATTGAGGACAATATTTGGAAACTAGCCTCTGAACATCCCTTTTTTTCTCTAATCTACCCAATCCTCTAACATTCAATGTTATTATAGATATCTTTAACATCATCATAAAGAAATCAACCAACTAGTCCCCCCGCAAAATCCCCCTGCTTGTCCATCCTCAAGCCTTTTTCCAGACTAATAATCTTATCCAAAAAGGCTTGTTGTCCTTGTTTAAAGGAAATACCCAACAACTTACTTATCTCCCAAGTAACTAAAGCTTCATCCAATAAATCTGAAAAACCTGAAGAGGAAGCTGTTGAAATGCTCACTCTTTCTAAAGCTTCCCTTAACAAATGTCTTCTAGCTCTTCTGATAAAAAAACCCGATTCAAAGTTGTGATTATCACCCATTAACTGCAATCCTTCAACCACCCTTTCCACACTCATATCCCTCGAATTCGATCCATCATTCACATCCTCACAACCCTGAAACTCTGCATCCACTGACAAGCTATCCAGTTGATTTCCTTTGGAATTCATAATTTTCCAGTCACTGACGATTAAGATACTATCTTTCTCAGGCTTAAAATTCAAGATACTTCCCATCCAGTATTTTCTGCCCCTACACCTTTTGTAAACCCTTTTGTAACTTCTGCTTTTCCTTTTCTCTAACGGTACACTTTTGGTGCTTATCGAACTGTCAGACTTATAACACAATCTACCCTTAACTTTGCTTCTTGAATTATCAATGGTAGGCTCTATCACCCTTAATTCAGAATCCTTGGCTCGAAAACCATCCTGCTCAATTATCTCTGAATCTGACCTCCTCCCCACATCTTCACTGCTGTAACAACTTGACTTAGCCAAATCCTGATCTTGAACCATTTTCCCAAATTTATCAATTTTAATTTTTGGCCCAGCAGGAATAATCCTCATTACGTTAGGCCCAGCAAACTCATCTTCTTCTGATTGGGCTTCCGACCCAGCAACCGTCATTTTTTGAATCTCTCAATCCCAAACCTGCAAACTAACCCACTTTGACACTCCCTCCATACTGCACAACTGACTTTCCATTAATGTCTGATCTATTTTTTTAAATTCTTGGAAACCGATTATCTCCACCAACTCCACCAAGCCTGATAGCTGCGCCCTGTTCCATCCAACTGTCCACTCTCTGACAGTTTTCTTCTTCGTTCTCAAACATGAACGCTCCCAACTGTCCCTCATCGAAACTGACCACCGGAGGATTTGTGGAAAAGAAAATAGACTCATCATTCGCCGATCCAATCTTCATTGTTACTTTAAAAGATCTTCCATATGATCCAATAGTAATCTGATCTGGAACATCAAAAGGACTAGCCACCCTAATTAGCAATCTTGCCTTTGTAAGATCTTCCCTGTGTTTCGTGTCATCAAGAATATCTATAACCCTTCCTCATCTCCCTGCTAACCTTTCAAGGAAAGATTCATTCCAGCATAAAAGAGGTAACCCAAAAAACTCCACCAAGCAAAAAGCCAAAGGAACACCATCTTCGTTCAGTAATGGCTCTAAACGATCAAACCAAAATTGAAGATCTTCTTTCTTCTTCATCCAAGCATCTGACATTTCTTCAACTGACTTAAAGATTATTACACAAGAGTTCCAGACATACCCCCATCTAACAATCTGGACGTCATAGCCTTCATTAACTAAAGCATTATGAACTAACTCTAACTCAAATAAATTCTTGATAATCCCCGTCAATGATCTTTTAACCCAGCTCGAGCTCTCAGATGAAATGTGCATATGCATGATGTTTTTCCTGACTTTTTCCCTGTTTTCAGCATCGACGGACATATCTTTGACCTCCAGAACACTCCTCGACCTCCTGTTCGACATCAATGCATCTTTGTACGATCTGTCATCCCTCAAACTTCTAAGAACATCATCTGGCTCTTTTGGATTCGAAATATCAGCAGTGATCGGACAAGCTTCCTTCTTTAAATCCTTATTATTACGCTCTACCCATGCTCGGGATTCATTGTATCTTGTGACTCCAACCGTGATCCTTCTCCCATCTTTGATCGCTCCATTAAGATTTTCTACAGCCCTTCTCAAACCATCTCATTTCCAAACTGCACAAAAGCAAAAGTGGAAAATCTGTATTTTGGGTTTCTAGTTTCCTTAGGGATATAGACTCTCTGAACTGGACCATGAACTAAAAACATTTCCCTTAATGCACGTCTTGACACTCTCCGAATAAGATTATCCACAAACACCTTCCAAATCTCCTCGGAAAAAAAATTACTTTTCGCCTTTCTCTCACAACTTCTCTCTCCCTCTCTCTCATCTTTTCCCTTATTTGGAATGCTGTTTTGGTTGAGATCCACATTGAAATTATAGGTTTAATAAGTAGCCATTCCTCGTGGAACGGAAATTTCTACCTAGGAACTTTAGTTCTGAAAAACTTCTTCCATTTATGTTGTAAATATTCAAGAAGATTATTATGTGACTGTCATACAAGGGGAACCCTGGAATTGTGCAAGATGGAGAAAACTCTAAAGGATAAAGGAGGAAACAGGTGAATCACCCAGAAATGACAGCATTTACCAATCTGAAAATAGAAATGGATACAAGTTGTCATTGCATTTCTCCCATCTGAAAGTTACACAAATTTCTGATATATTGATTTTAGAGAAAATTCAACATTATAATAGATGTCTCTATCTTGCGAAGCATTAGAGAAGATGGAGTAGAGGAGATCCAAAATTGGCAGTGAAAGACAGTGAATCAACATTTTATTTTAATATAGTTTATCCTCAGAAAGAGTTGATCTGTCTTAGTGAAACCTAAGAGGTTTGTGAATTGGAACTTTTTAACCAAGCAAGAGATATAATGATCTTCACGTATTGCTTGACTTGGTAAAAAGTTTTAGGAAGAGAGATATATTGCATTTTCAATTCTTTTTTTTTTTCACTAAATAGGCCGAGGAAGTATATTCTTAAATATTTCTTAGGAAGTGATCTGCACTAGTGATTTGCTATAGTTAAGTTCGCATTTTTCTTGAAAACTCAGATGAAAATAAGTTGCAATTTTGTCAAGAATTCTCTTGTTTTTAAGCCAATCTGGGCATATTGTTAGGAAATTTCATCTTCATTGCATTCCATTTTAAAAGATGTAGTGAAGTTATCTTTTGACAGGTGGGCATAGCTTACCTGCTGGCTTTGGAAAGTGCAAATAGTTTAACTGTATCTCCCACGGAAAATATTGAGTATGACAGGTATTTTCATCACTGTTGAATTACTTAAGTCTGTATGCATGGTTTATTTAGTAGCGACCATTAAAATTATTTAAGACTGGGTTTATTGCTAACTTTGAAGCTTTACTTTTGAATGACTGAACGTTATGATATCTTATTCTCGTTCAGTTATTATTTCAAGGCAAATTAAGTGTTTCTTGCTTATTAGTATGCTTCAGGACCTAATTTATAAAAAAATAGTCATGTAGAATAAATAGGGCAAAGAGATAGGGAATAGAAATGAAAGAAAAAGCTTTGGATAGGTAATAAAATGGGTGGGAATAGAGGTACTAGGAGCAGAAAATCAGAGAGAAACAGGAGGAGGAAATATTGATACTCCATATCTTTAAATATGCGCATGAGCATATGGCTCCATGGTAGGTGCACTTAGTACCCGACTAAGAGTTGGGTTTGAATCTCCTTCCGTGGAGGTAAAAGAAAAAAACTCAAAATTACCAATGACTCGTCATTTAAATGCTACTAGAATCAGAATTAACAATGGCACTTATAAGTAGGGGTGAACGTACGATCGAGTCGAGTTAAAAAAATTTCGAGTTAAAAAAAATTTCGAGTTATTCGAGTTGACAAATCCTATTTTACAACTCGGACTTGATTTGAAATTTTTTCGAGTCTAGTCAAGTCGATTTTCCGAGTTTCTGTTTAAATTTAATTGTAAATATATATAATATTATAATATTATTTGATTCCAATTTAAGTGAGTTTCTATAACCATATATACAATACAAATATATATTTTTTTCATACGTGATATTCATATATCGTACAAAGTCCAAGGACTCAACTTAAACTTGAAAATAAATCCACTAATTACTAAAAAATTTCAAGTTATTCGTGTTGCATTTTTCAACTCGATTTGAATTTGAAATTTTTTCGAGTTGAGTTTATGAAATTGCAACTCGAAGTCAATTCGAGTCGAATCAAGTTGAAAATTTCGGTTGTTCGAGTTGAGTCGAGTTTTGCTCACCCCTACTTGTAAGCTAATAGAAAAAAGGAATGGTAATATAGCCCTAATGCCCTAGTACTTGGGAGATAAGAAAAAGAATACTTGATGTAAAATAGTATAGTTAGTATAAAAAAACCTAATTCTACAAAAATAGAGGTTAAACTCTTAAATTTTGCAGAACAGAAATTGAAACTTCATCTTTTAAAAAAATCAATTGCAAACAACTGATTTGCTGTTGCATCATTTTGTTTTCTATCCTATTTTTTGCTTGGAAGCTAGCATAAATTTGCATCATAGCAGATGGATATGAGAAACCACAAGGGATATGGCAATGTGGATTGTGCCTTGCATGTGATACTCATACAAAAGCACCCAAAATGCTCTTTATAGTAGTAGGTGAGTTAAAATAGACAAAAGGTTCCCCGTCTAGAAAAATATACTGAAAAAATGAATTCCAACCAGTGAAAGGGTTAAGGCAAGGGATAAGACTGTAGGGAACCATGACCTTTTTTTAGCATGAAAAATGGTAAAGTTCCTTCGTAATAGATTTCCCTGAGAAAACATGTACGAAGGTTTTGAATCAAACCATTCACATCCAAGACAGGAATGCTGAAGAAGTTATGGAATACAAGCCAGACGGGCTGGTTGGTCTGGCTGAACCAGGAATCCATGTCTTAGTGAGATTTATTCCATTCTATCCTTACATGTTAAACCTTTTCTAAATCTGATATTATGGAACATGCAGGGTGATCGAAAACGAGTATTTAGGTCTGAGAAATGGAATAATGGATCAATCGGCTATACTGCTTTCAAGCCATGGCTGTCTAACCTACGTGAACTGCAAAGTAAGTCAAACTTTTTGTACTAATTTCACTGAATAAACCTTTCACTCAATTAGGTGCCACAAGCTGAGTGATACACAGTTGGATAATTGACACAATACTCAATTAGGTGCCACAAGTTTAGTGATACTAAATAAGTTGGATAATTGACACAATACTCAAATTAAAGCATAGTAATTTTTTACTATGAGCTTTTAATATTTTTATTTAATTTTGTTTTTAAATGAATAGTTATTTTTTTGACGAAAAAAATGTGTAGAGGAAAAAAATTGAAGAAGAATAAGTTCATGTGTTTGACTAAAATCCACAAGTTTTAATAAAATCTTATTCCAATCAAACAGGAATTGTATTTAAAATGGCTTTATAATCAACAGTATTGTCATACATGCAAAATAAATTGACTAAAAGGTGTATTGTATTTAACAATTAACATAATAAGTTTTAAGTAAGGTCAGGGTTTGAACCCTGGCGTTTGCAAATGGAGCAAACTGGGTTGGGAGGATTGCCCTCGCCTCTTCAATACCCGATCTGGATTAGTTGATCAATAGATTAGATACCAGTGATTAATTCAAAAAAAACATAATAAGTTAAAAAGAGGTGCAAGAACTAAATTAATATCTTTATCAGAGCCTAACATTGTGTTACAAAAATGTCCACCCTTGGACCTTTCACCGATTGCTTGTGTGCAATGCCACGTTGCTTTGGTTGCCCAAACTTTGTCAGATGCTTTTCCCAAAGCCGTGTATGTTGACTCACTTTGACTGTTATTTTATTGAGATATGTAACCCCTTTTCTTTAATGTAATGTTGATCCAATCATGATTTTTCTGAAAAAGATATTTAATTCGTAATACAAAATGTTGATTCATTTAAACTTGTTTCACATGGCCTCTCATTACATGTAGACTAAAGAGCACAAGATTATACACCCTCCAAAGTTTCTAGATGATCACGAAGCTGAACCAAAGAAAGGCTACAAAATATTACTAGCATTTTCAGGACTTAGGCAAGCTTTGACCAGCAATCCTGGATACAATTCTCGAGTTGCAGAATGTCAAGAAGCTGCCAAAGTTCTTCTGTAGTATGATCTCATTCCCTCTAATTTAGAACACTGGACAATTGTCATTTATGATTTAATTTTTAAAATGCAGATATCGTCACTAGTGCACTTAGATTTTGAGGCAGTTAAATTCATGTTAACTTCTATAGATCCACTTTTTGATTTAATGCTTGTGGTTGTGGATGGAGAATATTTGAATTCTTTTCTTGATCATGTTGATTAGAGGAGTAAAAAGATGACATTTTATATTGCCCTTTTAGAAGTCCACCTTGTCATGAGTAGAATCATATCGATGTTCGATGCATGGCACTAACCCTCGTTTTCTTACAATGAGAGTCCACATCTTTTGTTGTCTTCTGGTTCTGCTTGTACCTTACAATGAGATATCATGACCTCTATAAAATTTTCAATAAAATGCAACATCTTGTCATATTTTTACTAAAAGTTTGTCCTGGTTTATCGTGATTCACCTTTTTTTCCTCTTTTTCTGTTATACGTTCAATAAACATAACTATCTGTTTCTGTTTTGTAGTGCTTCTGGAGATGATGAAACAGAGCCCATCCTATGCAATGGCTAGTATTTGACCCCATTGTCCCTGTGAATTTGAACTTCCTCTTAAGTTATTTATTTATTTATTTTTGTATTTGCACAATGAATTTAATTTCTTTCCTACCCTCGTTCCTAGCAGTTAAACCAGAAGCTTACGAAGCATACAAGGTATAAACATCAATATAGACTCTGATTTCAGAAGCTGAAAATTTCGCAGCATTTCTTTTTTTTAGTTGTTTTTATGCCATTATTATTAGCTGAATGTTATGTTTTGGATGTATTTTATTTAATTACCTGTCCTACTAGAATAGTAAACTTCCAAGTTACATACTTCAGTTTGCTAAATAAGATTTATATATTCTCAGATTTAAATATTAGGTATACTCATGAATGCAAGTATGGTATGCATTCATTCATGGGTATTCTACTAATAATGAAAATAACATGACCTCGTAAATCTGAGCGTCCAGTCACCACATACTAGTATATGAGATTATTAACTTCGATTGCATGAAAAATAAATTAATATTTATGCACCCATGAAAGAATAAACCTAGCTAAAACAACTTCATGTATGATACGTGCCCTCCATATCTCAAACATAAGATCTCTACACCATTCCACCTAAGCTAAGCATGGAATGCAGTAGATAGGCTATGTTTGATGTATATAACCTGTGCAACTAGTTGTTGACTTCACATTCTCTGTTTTGTTCACAAGTTATGTTACTATTATCAGATGGCCTTTTCTTTTGCAGTTCAAACTGGAACCAAATCTAGCCGAAAGAGCAGAGCATTACTTTTCAGAGAACATGCGGGTTACTAAAGGTACAACTGTGTTATCACAATTCCTTGAATTTATCTTGGCAACATAACAATATGTAGATACCCATGTTCAATGGCTTATCAACTAATTAATGGTTATTCCAGGATTAGAGGCTTGGGCTTCAGGAGAATTGAGAGATTTTGGGGAACTAATGACAGCTTCTGGTCTAAGTTCAATTAAAAACTATGAATGTGGTACGACCTACCTTTTTCTGTTTCTTAGTTGCATTGCCATGCCTCTTAAATTCCAAAAGTTTTAACCAAGAAGAAACAAAAAACAATTAGATCTCCTACTGGAGCCTATTTAAATAAATGACTGTAATGTAATGGTTATGAAGGGTGCGAGCCACTGATTCAATTATACGAGGTCCTATTGAGGGCTCCGGGGGTATTTGGAGCTCGGTTCAGTGGAGCTGGATTCAGGGGTTGCTGTGTTGCACTGGTAGATGTGGATCGCGCAGCAGAAGCAGCGAACTTTGTGAAGGAAGAGTATCCTAAGCTTCAGCCAGTGCTGGCAAGCCAATTGAGCCATGGCTCGGATGTTTTGATTTGTGAAGCAGGTGGCTGCGCTCGTGTTATTGATTAACTTTCCTTCTTTTCTTATGTTGTTCTTCTATTCATTCACTTCAATGTTGTCTGACAAATTCCATGAACAAGTGTGTTGCAGAGTTTAAATAGGTTCTGAATTAGTCTAAATTTCAAAATACAAAACCATTTGAATTTTCCTTCATTAGATTCCAAAAATAGGGTAAATTATGTCTTCATCCTTCAATCTAATCTTGGTCCATTACCCAAGTTTGTTTTTACTAGTCTGCGGCTTTGAATTCATCAGGTTGGAATTAATGCAGTGCAATATCATTTACTTGCATGATTATTTTAATATAAATCATTCATGCAATATAATTTCTTCAAGAGGAAAAAAGAACCGTAAGATCACATGTCCATTTTCGTAAAATGTGAACATCTCACTGACACACAAAAATCAGCCAATATATTAAAATTAAAGCTGGATACAAGCAGCTTGCAAAAACCAGTTAATGGTTTCTGACATTTTCTTTTTGCTACCCAATCATCAACTTTGTCACATGAGAAAACACGAGATTTAAACAGCCAGAAAGGAGAGATAAAATGTCATCAGCAACAGCATTAGACTCCCTTTCAGATAAAATGTCTCATGTAGTTTTGCAAGCAGAGATCCCAACCGAGCAGCAAGAGGTGAATGTGCGAAAACAAATGCATTAGCTCCCTTTTTAATTAAAATTTTTATATACATGCTGCCCTGCCATTATTTTGCTTAAACTGGTGTCGGCATTATGATTTGCAGAGCAAAGAATGCAGTAGAACATGTATTGCGGGTTATTGTACAGTGGATGCCCTGGAGAGAGACCTTGCGACGGGCTTGATGCTTGCTGTATGAAGCACGACGCCTGTGTTCAAGCTAAGAACAGTATGTATGCTCTTGGTTTCACTTGAACAAATTTAGATCATTTATTTGATATGTATAACCGGGTGGGTGCAGATGACTATCTGAGTCAACAGTGCAGCCAAAGCTTCCTAAACTGCATGACCAATTTCCAGAGAGGAGGAGGGAGGAGTTTCAAGGGAAACAAATGCCAAGTGGATGACGTCATTGAGGTAATCTCTGTCCTCATGGAGGCCGCTTTAGTCGCTGGAAGAGTTCTCCATAAACCATAGATTTAGCCTACCCTACCCTTGTTTTACATTTCATGGCAAAAGAACCATTTTTGCAATTCAGCATAACTAATTCATCCATGTCTGCATGAGTAGTGTTATCCTTCAAGTATAAGCCAAATTTGGCTTTGAAAACCAATGTTGAAGTCATTCATTTTCTTTTGCTATGTGTCTGAGAAAACAAGGGTAAATGCCATGCAAACTGACTGAAAGAAGGCCTATGTGTTGTTTTTACAGAATGAACCACTTAGCTAGGGATTAATTCAATATGCACAGACACAAAGCATGCGTGCACTTGGATCCCAAGCCTAACCTGGGAACCAAAAGGAATAGAGAAAGAACCCATAGTATTCACCATAAGCATATTGTATTTTTTTTATTAATAAACTAAAAAAAATAATTAGACTTTGTCCAACCCATTATTAGTGACTAAAGAATATGACCCTAATTGTAAACAAAAAAAAAATAAAAGAATGGACCTTAATTATAAAGATTAAAAGAGTGGGGCCCTTGCTGTAAGATTAAAGGAGCGGGGCCTTGAGCGATTGCTCAGAGCACTCACTACTAAGGTTATTTGATTGGTTTAAGCGTTATTTTATTTTTGATTAATTTAAGTTGATTATAAGTGATAGTATTTGTTTTAGAGATTCTCAATCATTTAACAATAAGTATTCAAATTTCACGCGGTCGTCGGTGCTTAAAACTTAGACTTCTAGAGTTAACAATCATCTATTTAACCACTAAATAACTTAATTCGTGCAACATTATTTTATTTTTAATGCATTATTGTATAAAAAAGAAATAAACTAATGTCATTTCTTGAAAATTATATAATATTAACATATAGTTTCATTATTAATGTATAAACTTCTATATAACTTTGGATTAAATATAAATTTATAAAATAATTATATGATCAAACTTATGTGGTGAAAGAAAAAAAAATGAAAAAGTGTTATTAAAATAAATGACAATAATATTTTCCTTTTTAGTTGAATATGAAAAAATAAAATATAAAAAATAATATATTTGATTAAACTTGATATTAATTCAATTCGGATTTAAAGTTAATAAATATATTTGATGTTAACAGATATAAAAAATATCATTTTAAAATTTTATTGGATTCATACGACAATTTATTTGAAAAAGAATTCATAAACATCATTATAATATATTTGGTTAACCTGTAAAGTAAATTAATAAAGATTTCACATTAAAAGATATGAATAAATCAAACAACTTCGGTGGTTAAAAAATATTATTACTTTTTAAAATCTCGGGTTCACGTTCAATTGATTGAAAATCTTTGAATAAATACTACTTTATATTCACATTAGATTAATAAAAAAAAATTGTAATGCCTAGTTACTGGATTAGTAGTTCGGGTCAACTCCGAAACCAAAAGTTTGAGCCTAAAAACCCCTATAAGATAGTTGTACCAAGTTTATAGTTAGTGGGCTTTAATTTGGGCCCAAGAGTTTTAATAAGGGGTGATGAGTTTTGCATTAAATATGAGTTGAGGGACTAAAACTGTAAGTTTTCCCTTGATTGTTTTGAAAGCTGAAAACCACTCTTTAAATTATGTTTTTCACGTGAATCACTCCCTACTTAGCTCACCAAATACTATTCCCATCTTCTCATCTTTTTCTCTTCTTCATCCTTCGTAAAGGGTGAAATTCAAAGAAATTCAGGCCTAGTTGGATCAATCCAAAGTAAGATTATTAACCCTTATCCTTCTAGCTTCATTTTGAGCTCCATTTCACAAGCTTTTAAGCAGAACCAAAAATGGGTTTGGAGAGGTTTATGAGAATGAATTCTACTTATGTTTTGGGTGGATTTGGGTTATAGGAAGTTTATTTGGATTGTATCCAACCCCTAGATGGATTAGTAATCAATTTTCTCACTTTTGTTTAGTGAATGAGGTAGGAGAAAGCTCTCAAACTAGAGGAAAAGAAAAAAATTGAACTTTGGTCAATTAGGGAGAGTCCTAGCCATCAAAGAAGCAAAGTAATACATTCACAACTCTTCTATGCCATTAGTGAATCATTAGAAATGCAAGACAACATAATGGTTGAGATGTAAGCACGATGTGCATTACCATGGTAGTTTTCATGTTTAGAGTTTTAAACATGTTTAAAGCCCTATGTATGCTCCTTTGTAACTACATAAGACATTAATAATGATTGGGACCTCATTAAGGTCTTTGGGATTGAGAAATAGGTTTATTTCATGTTAAAACAATGCATTCTATAATTTGGGGTTTTCTTCATTTTTTGGGCAATGGTATCGATACCCATTCAAGAGTATTGATTCGGGGGTCACAGTCTCGAGACCCCCAGGTTTGGTATCGAGACCAAAATTCCAATAGTCATTTTAGTTTCGATACTTCCATAGAGTATCGAAACTATGTCATGGGAATCGATACTGAAGGGTCAATATCGATACCAATAGTCTATTTTGCGCAAGAAAGTTTTTAAGGGAATTAGACGCGAGATACCCCAACACTTCAGTATATCATCAAATAAGACTACAAGTGAGAACATTTATGATGTTTAATCACATTTAGAAACGATATTAATTAGGGTGACATAAAACTAGCATTGATTGATGCTTAGGAAACAATCGGGACACTCGAGTTCTTTTAGCAATATTATGATATCGAAGTATAGAATCAGTCCGGATATATCATTAGGTAGTGCGCGAGGCACTTTAAGCTGACTAGCTTGGGCGCAAGGTCCAACACTCGAGGAGTGCCCTAGTCAAGGGTTTTAACGATGCATGAATTCCGAGCATCATCCTCGGTAGACTAGAGGGGCGTGTGAGCTTCGAGATGCAGAACCCTCAGCCGCACCATGAAGTCTACCATAGAGTAGAGAGTGCAGTATACGAGTATACTCACTATTACAGTTTATCAATTAGTTTGAGCATGACATGAACCCTTTTAGTATAACTTAGTTGTTGGTGTAGCACTGGGCTAGTTAGCTTAGCATTTGAAATTTGTTTCCTTATACATGTTAGTCGAGGTGCAGTCCGAAGACCTTTTTGCCAACAGTGATCCAGATCAGACTAGTGCAGAGTACGTCTCGAGTTCATCTTTAGAGGACATGTATATTTGTAAATCATGTTTTGTATATTCTAGTCTTGACTTATTTTAAACAGTGGTATGTATGATTTGAATTATTATTTTTGGGAGCTCTTGATGTAAACTATTTTATTTAAAATGATTTATCTTATTAAGAACAATTTCAAATGATGGTTTAAATTGAGAAATTAAAGAAAGAAAGAAAAATTGATTAGTCACCCCGATAGTTTCGTATGACATTTTGATCGGTCGATTATATGTCGTACTGATGTAGGGTGTTACAAAAATATTAAGAGAGAGATTTTTGGTAAGTCAACGAAGCGTGATCTCGAAAACAAGTATTGTCTTTAAAAAGGATCGGAACATTCTTTATTCCATAACTATAAGAAGAAAATAAACAAAACAAGTGAAAATTAAAAGTGCGTCTATTCATCCCGAATGGAACACAATTGGAAATAATTAAACTATTTTTTTAAAGGGACTGCATGTTATTTTATCTTTTAACTTTTATATAATTTTTAAAAATGATTGGTAAATATTTGTACACATCCTGTCACATAATCTATAAGCCATTGATACATTAAATGAAACTAAAAAGATACTGCAGCAATATATAATGAAATCAAATTGGCAAATAAGTGAGCATTTTAATTGATTCGACTTGTCATGTGCATAGTCAGCATAAAGGACTCCCGTAAACCTCTATATATTATTTATATGTCTGCACGCAAACAGATATTTACGGCTATCGCACATCGCGAAGCCTTGTCTGGCTCATGTGCATAAACGACTGCTCTGCCCATATCTAAGCTTTATATCGCAATGCTGTTTAACTTAACCCAAACATCCCATGCTTTTCCATTTTCAATTTTGAAGGATTCTTGCTGTTTGGACTGACTTTATAAGCTAGAGACTAAATTAAGGCAGCAGCAAGGCGAGCGCCATGCAAAATAATGTCCAAGTACTTTCATCTGTAAAGCCGGACATTTTGTTCTGCGTTTCAGACTTGTTCAGTTATGTTTCCTTCCTCATCTGTCTAAACCACTCCTTTGGAATAATAAATCAGTAGATACTAGTTGTTAACCATCATCACCGGAAAGGATATGTACCATTTTCTTGCAGCTATTTTACCCGGCCCCTAATATGTTGCTATGATTTTAACATACGGGTCGGTGATTAGGTGGTGGAAAATTTTTACCCCGGCCGGCATCAACCATCGATCCATATGCCATGACACCCAGAGCATCAAACCTCACCAAAGTTGAAATCTACTCTGTTCCGGCATCCAGAGAACCCACTCCCAGGGTTTCAAGCTTTAACCAAAATGATTTCTATGCCATGTTTGCAAGCAAGGCTCCGTGCCCCAAATAGCTTCCAGGCCATGTTTTTTCCCTGCAAGGAGCGACACCAACAACTTCGAACTTGGATTGGATGAGGAGATGCTCAAGATTGCAAAGAGGAGGAGCATGAGCTGCGAGTTGTGTAACCGATGTCCACCGCCGAATCCCATATTCTCAGGGTCTAAGAAGAAGGGAAATGCCTAACAAGGAGCTTCATATGTTCTCCTGTATGAGAAGGGAATCCAAGGCATGCAGTTAATAGAGCACCCTCCACAGACTTTGACACTTGTAAAGCAGGCGGCAGCCCATCAACAGGAAAACGCTGCTTCAAGAGGCAATATTATTTAACCTCGATAACATATTCCTCCATCCATGGAGTAGCTAATTACATGTACATGTTGATTTGTACAGCAATGTAAGAGCTAATTGAAAATATGAGTCCGGCCTTTGTTTTCAACTCTAAATTTTTAATTTATATTTATATAACATAATTTTAATAAAATAAGCAATATATTAACATAATAATAATAATAATAATAATAAATTTTATTTATATAACAAAGTATTAATAATTTTGTGATTTAATGGTTGAAGGCTGTAATGTTAAAATTGAATAATAAAATCGAAATCTTTTAAATTGTAATGACCAAAATATAATTAAAAAGAAAAACAAGTGATGAAATTTATAATTACCCGTGTTATTACTTTTTTTTTTTTTGATAGACGTGTTATTGTTAATTTAATTTGGGCTTTGTGCTTTCTGTTTCCGAGGAGAAAGAATAGAGGGCACTGTGAAGCAGAAAACATGAAAAAGAAAAGTTATTCTGACCGTTGGATTGCTTGTGATCACCGGCTCTGATTGTTTTTCTTCTCTTAGATCCATCCCTCCTCCATTTTTCCCATCTCCTCGTTTGGTCGTAAGTTCATCTCCATCTCATCCAAACTTACCCCTAAATCTGTCGGCTTCGTTATGGATAGATCGTATTTTCGTTGATCGGGTCGGTCCTGCTATCTGTTTATCATCATGCATCAACTAAACTATTCTCTGATGTTTTCATGAAAGCAAGAGAAGTATGATGCATTTTATTTCTTTATTTTTTACTTTGTTCTTGGAGGGATGCCATCGAATGACGTCTGAACTCAGGCCTTTGCTTTTTTTTAATAGAAATTTTTAAGTTTGGATTTTGTTTTGGTTTTGATTTCTGTTGTTGAAATTTTGTTATTTCCAACGTTGTTCTAGATCTTGCATCCTCATACTGAGATTAAAATATGTGCTGAATTTTTTGTAGCTGTTTTCTCGCTAACCTGATTAAAATTATTGAAAAAAGATTATCTGATGATTTTTAATATTTTTTCTAATTTATTATTGATTTTCCAGCTTGATTCGTTTCATTGAGTATCGTTAATCTTTTTTTTTTAAATTAACTTATACATCTATTTATCTTGGATTTCAATTCTAACTGCTTGGTCTTTCAAATAATGTTGTAGGTCTCTTTAATTGGCTACCAAAACTTCATATTATTAGCTTCCACTGATAATCGGTGTTTTGCTTCACGAGGTCAGTCGAAGTTTATGATGTCAGTTAGACTGAAATGTGTAAATATATATTCAATGATTAGCCTATATATTTAAAGACATTATTCTTCTCATGTGAAAATATATATTCAATGTGAAAATAGTATTGATTCTTACCCCTTTCTGGAAGTTAAAAACATGGTGAAAACCATAAAATAGAACCTTTTTGATGATATTCTTCATAAAGCATGGCACAACAATATTATCCATTTATTATGTAGTATATAGCATGGAAAAGGCTTTCTTTCTTGCAGCTGTTGTTTTAGTTACTCCTATTTTAGGCTGCGAATATATCTTTTTATTTAAGTTGTAACATACATGCAACAGTTGAACGTAAGTGAAGGAAGATATGTAGTTACTTTTTTTTAACAAAAATGAACTCTTAATTTACCCTCTCTCTGAAGTAATCTAATTCAAAAGTTGAAATGAAGTTGACTTAGACTTTTGCTTACTGGAAAGTCGTTTATTTTTCCGATTGTGGTCAGTCTCAACATTAAGCAGAAATATTTTTTCCTATACAATTCAATATAATCTTTACGAGTTTTTGGTTTAAGGAAAAGCTAGCCACTGCAATAAGTTAACACGCACATTGCTGTAGATCAATAGTTTCAAAGCAACAACAAAGAACACTGTGCTAGCAGGTTTTGATTCTTATGTTCAAAACATGTAATGTTTTCTTCATATCTGAAAGAGCTTGTAATAGAAGCTGGTTTGGTTAAACACTTATTTTCTTCTTGATATAAATTTATAGCCTGTAGAAGTTAATGATGTTTTGGACATTTGATTAACTCAGTAATGTATTCTGTTCCCGTAATAGGCTGTTCAGATATTCAAATGCAGTCTCCTCCTGAAAAAGAATTTGTTATGCTGAAAAGGGAAGCTACCGAATTGGCTAGGTCAAGTTTTACAAGTCACATGGATAGTACTTTCCAAGAAGATGTAGATGCTGCTTCTTCTGCTTCATCATCTTCAGATGATGACTCTCAGGTGACACTCAATGAAGATGATCTATATAATGGGGATGCTTCTAAACAGTTAGTGCTCTATGATCCTGCTGTCAGTAGTACAGTTGGTTGCATGCCTCCTAGACCTATTCAGTGCCGACCTTCTGCAAGTCCAAGATTTTCTTCATCAAGACTATTGCCATCTGTTGGGGCTTTCACTGTCCAGTGTGCCAATTGTTTTAAATGGAGGCTTATACCAACAAAGGAAAAGTATGAAGAAATACGAGAACATATTTTAGAAAATCCCTTTGTTTGTGAAACAGCTCGTGAATGGCGGCCTGATGTCTCTTGTGATGACCCAGCGGATATCTCTCAAGATGGCAGCCGGCTTTGGGCTATTGATAAACCAAACATCGCTCTGCCTCCTCCAGGCTGGCAAAGGCTTCTACGAATAAGAGGTGAAGGAAGTACCAAATTCGCAGACATGTATGTGTACTTCTCTATTGAGGCAATCCTTGACCATTAATCTTTGATTTTTTAAGTCTATTTGTTTTCTCCTGTTATCTATTTTTCTTTTGATATTTTAATGTCTCTACTATCTACATGCATATGTGTGGTTTTGGCAGCCTCAGAATTCCTAGACTATTATGGGCTTTATTTCAATTGATTAATATTTGCTTGCTTAGTTTTTTTACATTATCATAAGCAACTCTTATTTGCTCTTAAACTGTAAACATTGCTTTTTTTTTCATTCTTTTTTCAAGCATTAAATAGTAACCTAATTGTTAACGTGGTCATGATTTGTGAGATGATCAATACATTTTTCTCCTGAAGAGTAAGCAATGAACCTAAACTTGGTTTTAGAATGGTCCGGTTTTAATTTGCTTTTCTGTGTATTTCAGCTACTATGAAGCACCAACGGGAAAGAGACTGCGGTCAATGGTGGAAGTGCAAAAGTACATGCTGTTTACTCGAGCTTTTGATTTTCTTAATCTTCTTTTTCCCCTTGGGTACAATTGACTACTGGATAAGTAGTCTGCAGTGACCATGACACCCATGCCTCTCCCAGCCCCTGAATTTTCTGTTGATAATTCTGTCACATTTTTTTCTGATTTACAGGTACTTGATTGAACATCCTGAGTATGCAACAGGAGTAAACTTGTCTCGATTTTCATTTCAGATTCCTAAGCCTTTACAGGAAGACTATGTGAGAAAGCGCCCTGCCCATCAGACAGCCTCACATGATAATGAAGGTATGATGAAGGCACTAATATGCTTTCTTTATGGACCGAATGTGGATGATTGTTTGAGAGATTTGATTTATCTAAGACTTTATTCTACGAAGTATGAATTTGTATATATTTATGCTATTATGGGTTATTTTTTCTTAATTTGTAATTTTCTACATACCTTTATTTTCTGGTTTGTTCCTAGATTTCCTCCGCTTCTATCTCTAATTTTCTAGTAATTTTCTGCTGTCTCTATTTTCCCCTCCTTGTTTGACGTTAGTAACAGACGGCAAAATTCTTTTTGTGTTAGAAATAAAGGGTTTGGATTAGCTTATTGTTTGTTCTAATTAGCTGAGTATTAGTTGGGAATTTGTTAATATACTTTTGGTTGTTATTGGGTTGTTAGGATATGGGCTATAAATACTAATATTTGTAAATGGGTTGAACTCAGTCTTTGGTAATCAAAATTAGTCATTTCCTATTATAAAAAAATATCAGAGAATTATCATCTTCAATCTCTTTGTTTTGTTGCAACCGTCTTCACTTCTTCACACACTCCGGCCAGCGGCCGTTCTTCGTTCCATACCATCAATGGCACCTTTTTCACATTTTGCAACCCATTTAGAGGAAGCACAACTTGGAAACTGCACTCACTTCATCATCCTCTTGCATAGACTGATCATGACTTTTGTTTTGGAAATATTTTTTGTTGGGGCTTTTCTCATTGTCATAAATACCATTCTACTCCATATTCTCTGTTACAGGATATGGAATGTTTTTGGTTGCTTCGGTACACCAGCCCTTCCCCATTTATATTTTGAAAATGGATTTTCTGTATTTCTACAGTATGTTCAATAAAATCTTATATTGTGCCCTTCTGTTCTTTTGTTTGGATTTGTACTGTACTTCATGATTTGCATTTCATGCTTTCTTTTCTGGAGTATTGATTGGATGCCTTGGTTTCCTTGTATGGCTTGGATTCTATTTTTCATATACCCTTTTCCACCAGAACCGATAACATGATTGCAAGTTTGTAAGACATTTAGCATTGTTTTGCTTCAATTGGATGATGGGAGCTGGTGCACAGATCAATTTATTCTTCGGCAAGGGGCTATTAATTTTTACACTGTCCTTGTTTACAAGTATTGGGGAGGTTGGGTACGCTTACCATGTCCGGGGTAGATTCATGCAAAACCCAAACTTATGCTTAGATTCTCTATCTCGTCCTTTTATCTGTTTCCAAGACATTCACCAGTTTGTTGATACTGTATCGCCTAAAACAATTATGATTGGCTAATAGAAGTCTTTGGTTTTATTCTACAGTGAATCCAGTAGTTTGGGATGGTCAGGATGACACAGAAATGCAGCAGGGGCGCCTTGCACTTCCACCTCCTGGTGCTGAGGCCTCTGTTCCCGATTCACCTAATCGGCCAGCAAAGCAGGCTAGGAGAACCCCATCAGAACAGATGTACCTAAGCAAGCATGGTAGCAAGGTAGAAAAGGCCAGTCCGTCAAGTAATAACAATTATGATCAATGAGACACGGACTATATTGGTTATTTTCCGACTATTTTGTTCCCTCCTTTAAAAGGCTCTAGAACGCTATGCATGAGTTAAAAGGTTGGATAGTAGCTTTTTGTTTTAGTAAGGAGTAATGGGTGTTCTAGAGCATGTTTTTCGGGAGATACGTTGGGACTGAACTAAAAATCATGACATTGTATTTGTATGAGACGCAAGAGGAACCTAGGCATACAAACTATACATGTATGAAGGGGCATTTTGATTATTCTTTTGGGCTGCAAGTTAAATGTGGATTTTCTTGCTTCTCTGTCGTCGTATAATCTATTCGAGGCTTAATGAAAAGTTTGAATTTTGTAGTGTAACTTTCTTCTATATATTCTAATTGTGCTCATGTATAACATAAGAGCCATTAATTTACATTAACTACCAGCCTTTCCTGATTTAAAGTTAGCGGGGGAATTAAAAGCATATGTGATTGAGGTGAAAGAGTGAATAAGAACATCGAATTATGAAGGTGGCAAGAATATGTAGAAGAAAGCATATTATTAACGGACTTGTAAGTTCTTGTTTCTATGTATATTTTTTTCAGTAATCTTATTTAATAATATTATTTATTTATGGATGTTTTAGTTTTAGTTTTTTTTTAAATTAATCAAAATTAGAGAAAATAAAATAAAATCTAAGATGTAGATTGATACGTATAAATCTATGGCTTATATTCATTTTGATGTAATAAGTTTTTTTGTTCCCATGATTCTCCTCGTAAAAATTTTCGTTAAAGTTGTCATCTATTTTCTATAAAATATTTTAAAATATCTTAAATTATTTAAAGAAATAATTAGACACCTCATTTCTATGAAAAGAAAACTGTATATCGAAAGAACTTAGTTATATTAATAATTAATTTAAGGGATTTAAATAAAAAAAAGATTTTTAGATGTGTACGTAGTATGGGTACAATGTGTAGACAGAGAAGGTATGCAAGAAACTGCAGGTGCAGGTGCAGGTGTATATATGTAGTATTAGTCCTAATGAAATCCAGTGATCGGGAAAACAAAACTAAAATGCTTTGAACACCGAATCTCAATATTTGTAACGATGTGGCCATGAAGGTAAAGTCCCCAGAAAATAGGGAAACCAAACATAAAGAGATTAGATTGCTCAAGTGTTGAACGAACTAAAAGAGACCACTTGTTGCGATGGTGGTGGGGAATTAAGTGCCATTCTTGGGCTTTAGTTGTTCAATTCTGGCAACAGCATCTTTGAAATCTAATCTCTTGCCCACATCTTCTTGGCAGCAACTCAATCCTATCTTCAACAGCTCTTGCATCAATTCCGCATCTCTGTCTTCTATTGTTCCCATCTGTTCGTCGAACACCTCCGTTTCTTGATTACCAACTACGGTCTTCACCCAATTCGCCATATCCTCTTGTTCGTCACCCTTCAAGTTTGCAGGGAAAACTCCCGTTAATATCTCTAGGATCAATATTCCCAAGGCCCATACGTCGCTCTTTCTTGAAATTTTCCCTTGTTGTACATATTCGGGCGACTTATAAGCCACCATCAATTTCTTGGCACTTTCTTGGTTGACTATGGGGATCAGACCGTAATCTGTGAGGAGAGGGTCGAAGGATTCGTTGAGGAGAACATTTGAAGATTTGAGGTGACCATGGGGTACAACCAAACTAGGTAACTCCTTGTGCAGGTATGCCAGGCCCTTGGCTACTCCTTTCACAATCTTCAATCGAGTTGTCCAATCCAACGCCGGCTGCCCTAAGGATGTTTGACCTGAAAAGGAAGCAAAGAATTGCTCATTCGTTTTCTGTCTACCTAATTATATACTATTAGGCTATAGACAAGGAAAAAGAAAACAAACCATGGAGATGAAGCGCCAAGCTCCTGTTTTTAACGAAATCGGAGACAAGGAGTTTCTCCTCCTTCCTATAGTAATAGGCGACGAGAGGAAGCAAGTTTACATGCATGAGTCTCCCTATCCTCCTCATATGCTCAAGGAACTCTTCTTTCCCAGCATTATTCATCAGTTTATACCTCTTCACCACCACCACCGGTCCAACGGATAGAGCAGCCTTAAATGATGACCCGAACGATCCACTTCCCAATACCTCAGCCGACGCTTTTAGCAAGTCAGGCAAATCAAACTTGTCTCTATCATCCCTCACGAAAGTAAGTTTAACAGTCGCCTCTGGGGCCTTCTTTCCATTCCTTGAGTCGCCTCTGGGGCCTACTTCCTTGTTGTACCCTTTTGCTCGCTCGTTTGCTGGTGGAGCCTCTACTGGTGATGGCTGCTCTCTGGATCGTTTCATCATGATCATTGCAAATATGCCCACTACTATCAACACCCCAGCGACGATCACAGTTAACCAAATTGGGGGATTCTTCGAGCTGGTGCTGGAGCCTGAGCTGGTGCTGGTGCTGGTGCTGGACCCATCGTTGGAAGCAGCAGGGGCGGACTCACACGCGTTTAGTGGTCCTCCGCAAACACCCTTATTGCCTGCAGTAATAACGGAACTGAGATCATAATATTTGACATCAAAACATATCTAATTTTATTATTTGTATCATATTAGAACATAAAGACCAAATATATTTATTCATGCAATTTCTAGCTATCTATTTCTCGTAATCTTGATCAATTAGATAGATATTGTCAGTAGTAGTAAAATATAAAATAAATTAATTATAGAATTAAAAGTCGATATAGATAACATATTAACAAAAAGATGAATGAGCGAGTCACCTTCAAACATCTTTTTGTCAATCTTACTAATGCTTGCTGGTATAGGACCCTCCAGTTGATTACTTGAGAGATCCAGCGTTTGCAGGTGGTTTTTAAAGTCTGGTATATTACCGGAAAAGTGGTTACGGTCAAGTTTAAGCTCTGTAAGTTTGGGCAAGGTGGCCAACGAAGCAGGAATTGCACCCGTAAACTGATTTTGTGAGAGATGCAACTTCTTCATCTGATTCAAATCATCAAAGGTATCGGGAGGAATTTCTCCAGAGAATTTATTGTTGGATAAATAAGCGGATCTCAATTCAGGGAGTTTGTTCAACTGCGGAATGGGGCCGCTGAAACTGTTGTTCATGACGCTGATGGTGGTGAAATCGGGCAGGGTTTTCAAAGAGTCGACGTCGATGGTGCCGGAGAGTCCCATGTTCTCGAGCTTGAGACCCCAAACGGCGCCCTTGTTGCAAAGGACGCCGACCCAGCCAGTGCACGGAGGGTAGTGATTGTTGTCCCAGCTTTGGAGAGCGTTGGCATTGAGTAGGGAGGATTTGAATTTGACAAGGGCTTGGGAGTCGGGCGATGCATATGCGTATGCATGAGAATGAAAAATAGAAAGGCAGGAGAGGAGGAGTGGAAGGTGAAAGGGCATGGCCATAGGCATTGCGTCAATGACGATGGGGGAACACGCACGGACGTGCGCGCCCTTCACCAGGGGAGCAGCAATTGGGGTGCTGAATATTAGAAAAATGGAGATGGATGCCCTGGAATTATGGAACACAGTCATTTTAAGTTGCCAAGAATAGGTTGTCAAGGTTAAAAAGCCTGCCTTGGGGCGTTGACCGCGTCTTCGTCTTCCTCTGCCACAACATATTTTAAGATTTTTCTTTTCTTTTTGAAGGACATCATCCATCTTTTTCTTAAATAAACTAACCTCCTCTACCTCCCTCATTTCCCAATGCTTTTGCTTTAATTTCAAGAATATAATATTAATTTTTTTTTGTTACTCTCTTTGTTTCAAATCTTTGCCCTGATTAATCGGATTAACACTCGTCGCATATCTGACTTTGGTGTAAGTATCCCATAGAGATTTTCCGCATACATAAAGATTCAAACATGAGACTTTACTTAAGCAAAATCAAGTTACTTATCACTTGAACCAACCTATATCGGTAATATAATATTAATATTAATTTTATATTTTAGTTAATTATTTAAATAAATAAATAAATAATTTTAAATAATTTTGTTAATTATGTTCTTATTTTTAAATAAAATGAGGAATCATTTAGTTTTAATTTAATATTTTTATAAGTTAAATAATAATTTTGGTATGTAATAATTCAATTCTTAATTTGATCTATTGGTAAAATATTTGAATATTTTTGTGAGATTCAAATCATAGATTTAAAAAAAAAATCTTTTATTTTATAGTGGTAGTTCAATGTAAGTTAAATTTCTATATTAGCAAATTAAAATCAATGATTTGTCTAGCTTAGATTGTTGAACACCTCTCTTTCCACCAAATTTGAATCATGGTAGATCTTCTTTAGGGAGATTTTCCTTAATTTTGTTTATAATAAGATGTTTTTAATTATTTGATTTTAGTTTTTTATTTTTATAAGTTTTTTTTTTGAAATAAGATGAGGTCTCATTAAAAAAAACCCTTCAAGGATTGGGAGGTGCGTTTTCAGTATATGTCGTGGAGTGGAAACCAAGTCGTAAATTCGTTAGCAAAATGTGTGATAAGTCCTCCAATATCTGTATTAAATTTGAAGAACGAGTTGGTGAAGTTACTGCATGAAGACTAACATGATGATTTAGCTGTATAATTAGACTATTTTCTTTTCTTACCCGAAAAACCCCCCTTAAAAAGAGTTCCCAAGTTTTATATTAAATCGCCAATAACAATACAAAGAAAAAAAAAAATGTAAAATATCGATTCCAACTGTCCAAAAATACCTATATTAGGCCAAAATACCTTCACAAAGCCCGAAGCAAAATAAAAAGGATATCAAGATAAATTCATGCAATACCCCTCACTTCAAACCAACTCATGGAAATATTACCAACACCTCATTCAACAAATTAGTTGGAATCCTGAAAGGTTCTTTAAACCTATAGCCCCCGAATCGCTTTCTATCATACCCCAATTTAGGGGTTAAATTTTATTGATTTAAGTAAATTTTTAGGGACTAAATTGTAAGTTTTAGACATTTATAACTCGGGCTGAAACTTTGGGAAGTGTGAGGACTTAACCCTAAATTTTCCCCTATCAGAAGCAAAATTCTCCAAATTAATTCCCAATACACCAACCCTAGCCACCTCCTTTCCATCGCGTTTCGCTTCGATCCGACCGTTGTTGTCGTGTCCTGACCCTACCATCGTGATCGGCGACCTTCCACGACCATAACCCCTCGTTTTCTTCATTGAGATAGGCCGCTAATTATCGTGAAAGAGTTGAAGAAGCACCCTCAAGAAACCTCCCCCGCCGCGTCAATTTTTGCTCGATTCCGACTGATCCGACGATTGTCTCGTCTCATCGCCATGACCAATATGTTCCCTAACCTGTTCTGCTCATAACTCGACCGTTGGGTTGGGTCAACACCATCGATTTCCCTCAATTGTCGACATGGGTAAGTTTTGGATGTTTTCGGTTATTTTAGCTTGGTTGGTTGATGTCTTTGGTTTAATTTTGGTTAAAACTGGTGTGTAGCTGATCGTGGAGTAATTTGTCGACTGCCCCGAGCCGGTCGTCGTCGACATGCGCCACCGTACGCGCGTGGGGCTTTCTTCTCAACCGAGACTTCTGGAAAACTGAGTCAACTCGGTCGGGTTAACCGAGTCAACCAATTCAACTCGTGAGTTAACCCATTGAGTCAACTCGGACAGAGTTAACTCGACCTGACCCGTTGATTATTGACTTTGACTCGAAAAGTTAAAATTTTAAAAAAGTCATATTTTATATTTTTCGACGTCCTAAGTTTGAATCTGAAGTATGTTTTCCCAAATTCGCACTCGGTAAGCCGTTTTTCAGTGTTTTACCCTCGGATTCAATTTGGTTTCTCAATTAAGTTCAGTTTCTAACGTAAACTCGGTTGTTATTTATCTGAAGAATTATTGGACGTTAAATTCAAGTTCGAGAGTGATCGAATGGAGTTTAAATGTTTGATTGATGGAGCAAAAAAATCGAGGTAATAATTTACTACCTCTTGTATGCTTTTCGGAACTTGTTGATAATTGGTAACTACATCGATGAAATGATTGATCATTTGGGTAAAATTTATTTATTTTGGACTCGAACAGAATTTTGGTAAAAAGATAGTAAATTGTATAAGACTCAAATGACTCACATAAGAAATTGAAAGATCAATCAAAAATAATTATAATTTCAGTGATTCATTAATAAATGAATTGACTTCAAAATTCGTAAATTTTGATTAATTTTTTTAAAGATTGAATATCGAGAATATTTGAATAAGAAATTACTAAAATAACCCTATGGGGTAAAATTATGAAAATGTCCTTGTACTGTAAAAGACCAAGACTTCCCCTGATGGTGAAAAATAACCTAGAAAGGACATACTTGACCAATTATCAGAAAAAGTGCATATGTTTGGATTGAAATGAATTAAAGAAATGCCCTCGAGCTACAAAATAACTAAAACAACCTTCAATGATCAAATGAACAAAATATCCTGAACTCTAAAGAAACTATAATACTTTCAAGCCTAATTTATCGGAAGTAATGCCACTGACAGAATTGAATGAAATGACAATAATACGCTTAAAATGTAAAAACAAAAAGGAATATGAATGTATATGATAATGGAGATGACATGAGAACTCAAATTTTGATTCACTTGAACCTTGGAATCACCGATTAAATTCATGATCTATTTGAAATACCTAAAAAATAAACTTTTACATTTGGAAATTCTTAATATGGCAACCCCTTGTTTTTGAATGGTCATTTAAAGATTAGATTATTGGAAGTGTGACACGTTACTAAAGTATTTAAATATGGATTATTCTCAAGTTTTGAAATAACTAATGTGCCTAGACCTCAAAATGACTAAAATAACCTTAAATACCGAGATGACCTATATACCTTTATGACTTAGATTAAGTAAGTTGGATAGACTAATGGGAACATCGATGAACCTAAATGATGTACTGCCTCTAATGGTTATAGAGCACGACCCAAGTTGTCGAAAATTTTGGGATACTATTATAAAGTGGAAATGAAATAAATACCAATGTAATACCTATTCTTCTTCTCAATAACTGATTGTTAACTTCCTAAAAAGGCTACTTTTAAGGCCTTTTTCACTCAAGTTATTGTTTGTTTAAAAGCTCATTTTAGGTATTTTAGGATCATGTAGTTGCATATAGTTGCATTTGTGGTGGTAGTGCTATTTTATTTCTTAATGATATTGCTTGAAGGAAAGGTTCAGTTTGTATGTGGTGTGCAGAGAATAGCAAGCAAAAAGGACTAGATGGGAAGTAATGTCGCGACATCACACATTGCTTAAGCAGATTGAAATGCCTTGGCATTTCTGGCGTAGAAAACGACAAAAAGATACAGCTGTACGAGGACAACTAGCTTTGCATGTGAAATGATTGTTGTAACTGCCTGCCAAAGCTGCTATGGGACCACTGCCACATGGAGGATAAGATTCACGTACTACATGTGATTCTAGGGGTATTTTACACCCAACATCCTCATCATTACCCCTAGATATTTTTATTATATATTACACCTCAAGGGAGATAATACATAACACGTGAAGAGGTACACGCATAGAGCAAAAAATTCCATTTTTATTCCCTTCTTCTTTCTTGGGGTTTCCTCCATTGATTAAGCTCCAAGGAGTGGCGAGCTAGGTGCCGAGAGGAGCTAGCGAGCTAAGGTGATTCGTGGTGGCCGAGGAGACCTCCGGTGGCGCGTCAAAGGCTTCTTCTCACTTCCCTTTTTGCTACTATTTTTCTATTTATTTGTGGGTTGTTGGAACAAATATTTGCATGACTTTGTGTTTGGATATTTCGAACCCCACCATGAACTAACTTATTTGGTGGTGGTTGGTTTAATAGATGTTTAAATGTTATTTTAATGGTATATTTAAGTTTATTTTGGTTCTTTATTTGCTTTGCTTATGAATGCTTCACCATCTAGGCTTGTAAGAGGCATGGAAATGTCCATTTCTTAGATGAAGTTTATGTATTCGGGAGAAACCTAAACTAAAAATACTTGTAAGTATTTGAGATAACCGCAAGATAAGATCCTCATAACCAATGGGTTATAGTATTTTCAAGGGGTTTTGAACCAGCATAGGAATATTATAATCTAATCCCTTAGATCTCGGGAGAGATTAGGATATGATTTCAACGACTAAAAAGGGTATCTTTATCAATAGGGTAGGCTGGCCAACATCGTTGAGTGAGAGCAGATGCATTGGCATCCTATTCTGTTAGGTTCCTTTGAGAACATTTTAGGAAAGCCCTATCGAGCAAGTAAAGATTAGATAGCTTAAATATGCCTGAGAGATAAGTTTAGCATCCTTAGATCAATCCCTACCATTCATTCCGTTGAAAGCTTATCACGTGAGGATTATATTATATTATATTCATTTTATTTGTTGTTTGTTTTCTGTTATTTACCATTTTTCATTGCCTCGACATTTCACCATTTTTAACACTAAACATCTTATTTTGCCACTGCATTTCCATCTGATACACCATCAGACCATTCATTT